ATCCAATTATGTCATCTGTATGAAACAGTGTTCGAAATAGCCACTGGCCAGCTAGTCTGTGGCTAGTAAAAATCTAGTCGCACCAGTAAATCTTCACAGTTACTGGCCTGACGGGCTAGTGAATTTTCATGTGGTCATATTGTAAATATATCACACTCTCTGACTTGTTAAGTTATAACACACTTTTACATCATGCAACATTATGGCCTGATTAAAATGTTCATCATATTATCAGCTTATTGATGAAACCCGTGTCTACATTCAAATTTTGGGCTAGTGAATTGTTTTGTGGGCTAATGACTTTCAGACATAGCCGGCCCGACTGGCTAGTAAGATTTGGAAACTATTTCGCACACTGGTATGAAATACATGAGCACATAAGGAGGAGTTCTTTGAGGTGTGTTACTTCTTTCCTGATATAAACCTACATTTAGAAACATGATACTCGTTGGAAGGAAACCAAGCAGCATGTTTTCCTATTTTATAATGGACATTAGATATTAATATATCACAAATCCCATTTGAACACACCATATTTCTATCTATCTTGATGACATATCACATATGAACATGAACAACGACATTACAACCAGAGTGAAAGTAAGTGTAATGACAGTTACACTTAAATATTGGACGTGGTACTGACACACAGGAATGGGCAGCTTGCAAAAATCAGAACAAATACCTTATCCTTTTTCTCTTCCTCGTCGTCTCCCTAGCAACATAATCAATACTTAAGAGTAACGTGATATTATGGAAAATTTACATGTGACTAATCAACATGTGCATCTTAAATAGAAAGAAAATATTATGAAGCTTACAGCATGTCATAAAAGTTTCTCAAAATACATTTAGTACACCATATATGAAAATGGTTTAGTGAAATATCTAATTCTAACCATATAAAATGACTGTATGAAAATATTATACTATTACAAAGGTCAAACAGACTTCACATATATATGTTTCACCTCAATATGCATCTTTGATGCAGAAACATGATCAACAGGTCAAATATAATGAGGAAGTCACACAATAAGAAGACTAATGGAAATTTTGGGGATTTGGGGATTTCTGAAAAATATATACCGGGGTAGTTATTTTAAAAAATTCACATCAGCTGGGGACTGTTGGGATTTGACTATTGGTATCTGCAATTACCCTTGCAAACCATGCACAATGTTTAACATGCTCAAAATTGAAATATTGGGATTTATCAGCTGAATTACTTGTACATGTATTATCATGAGTTCATGTCATTGAGACTTAGGGCATGCTTGCAGCATGTGGCATCTAATTCTATCTGCTAAGAAGGAAATCAAAACCACTGCAACAAAAATACCTCTTTCTTTTCCTTTTCTTCTTCTTCTCCCTAATAACAAAGTTTTTCAAGACAATCAAATATCAATTATATCTATAAACTGAATTATTTTATAGAAAAAACACTTCATTAAAAACAGAAGGTTTTGTATAGTATCTGCACATATCTTCCAAACCACACATAGCCAAATACTGGTAGCCCATATAGACTTTCATCAATTTAATTCATTTATTATGTATAGGTGGCTGTATCAGATAATACTTTATAGAAAAAGATATATATCAAGGTCAGTTTACAAATATCCAAGTATGGCTAAATTTGTTGAGCTGTTGCAAGACGAACGTGCTGGAGTTATACTTAATTTGTCAAAGTTTGTGTATACTTAAGGAGAAAGCAACAGTTGAATTTGTTTGAATCTTTATGTATCTTATGGGTCTGCCACCATGAGGGGATGGGAGTAGGCAGGGTGAGAAATGTTATGCACATGTGCACGTTAAATTATTATTGAATGTAAAATAATTCATCATCATCATCATCATCATCATCATCATCATCATCATCATCATATAATGGGTTGGGGGTTGGTAATGTGGTTGTCAGGATGTTTGATGTCCCATCCCAGGCATCAGTTTCAAAGAGATATTTAAATAAAATGAATTTATAAGAAAACTCTAACAAATAATAAAAGTCAATAGAAATCTATATTTGGTATTATTTATCAAGTTACAATGGCAAACTATGGATGAACTAACTGCAAGATGAAATCAATTACTAATTTATGGCTTTTCAATGTTACTTTTAATATTTTCTATATTTTAATTAATCTATTTTAAAATGAATAATTACCGTGCACAAAGGCACAGCCAATAATGCTGCATGGACATTATCATATAAAAACTCTAATAACAGTCCATGTAATCGTAAAATTTCCTAAAGTCTCTCTTGGCCAAACCATTACAACTTACGGTCAGTCTGTTACGTCTTCAACTGATTTGGAACGAGATCATCAAATAGGTGACATCATTCTACTTTCGGAAATATGTATAGCAGAGACCGAACGTAAAAGCGATTAAACACCAAGTAAGACGTGACATTAAATTACACGGATGTAGACCACCAAATACCATGTGCAGGAACATGCCTGCATAAGTATTTTCGAATATTCCTTTATATTTTAGTAGACTTAACAGTCTCTGAATCAACAACACATTTTCTGATGATGTAAACACCTGTACATTGTGGGACAATTCGAGACGATCACTGGAGCGAACTATAATTCCCATCAAAAGTTTAGACTCACTGAAAACACTCACTATACGTTATGTATATATATATGGTTACATCGAAGATTGATTTCTCCACTAACTTGGGGCAACCAAATGCAAACCTTATGCAGATGAATTTCACAAGGATCAGGCATCAAATTGCTGAAAAGCATGTGCAAATATCATGCATGTGAACAGCGGCATTTTGTTGTAAAGTTTTGTTAAGAATTCGCCAATTTTCACTGAGTTTATCATTTCTTGAACTCATGACATTAATCTTTTAAACTGTACGAATTTGTTTTACAATACATCAGTTCATGTGTAAACAGTACCTTTAAAACAATATGGAATATTTTGCAAACTTTAGTTTAGAACAGTTGCCTGAAGTAAGCTGCTATATTTACACTACTGAGTCTAAACTTTTGATGGGGAGTATATAACTGTTAAATATTACGATGATAAATATAAATGACCTTTTAACTGCAATATACATAGTTTTTACACAAAAGACTTGACGTAATGATATATAATCATGTCTTGAACATTTATAATACATGAAAACGATCTCTGGAATGTGAGCGCGAGAAAACAAAGCTCTCGATCATTTACGACCAAAGCTGACTATTACAGTGGCTAAAAAGACATTAGTATACAATGTTTCCATACACAATTCCGTATACAGCAGGCACATTGTTTGTTTATGCCTGATAACACACGTAAATAATGGCACCAGGTTAGAGGGAGTTTTGTAATTTGTATATTGAATATCTTATGTATGAACACAGCAATAAAGAATATCAACATGTCAGATGATACAAGGTTAACAAATTTCTGATAAGTAGGGTTTTCAATAAAGTACCGGTAGGCAGGTACATATTAATCTCTTATTATTGCAAGGGCAGATCAACAGTACATGGTATTCATCCTGAACAGAATCATTGCAATAACTACAAGTTATTATTACTAATTATGGGCTTTTAGATTGTCTATATGCTATGATATTAAAATCATGTACCCGGTAAATTGCACCTGAATTTAGTCATTGTTCTATTTAACGGTCATGAGGATATACACCAGTACCTTTCAGGTGTAATTTGTGATTTAGTTTCTGTTTATATTTGTAGACTTATCTCTGTCATCAATGATCATCAAGAATGTTATGGCCAAGGTATGTATGTAGGTATGCAGAAAACACACTGTTCATCACAACTATGCCTTGTCAATGTACAGGTATGGTCTATCATCAAGAACTATAACAAACTGATAACATACACCACACGGTGACACGCAAGGACATTCCATTTAAAAGTTTTAGGAATGACATGCACTTAAGTATAAGGGACACAAGGGCTATCAAAAGGTTTACACTGAAAAACGATACTTTCAATTTACAGAAACTTGACGTTTCAGAACAATAACATAAACAAAACATGTTTCATAGTTTGATCTTACTTCAGTAGGAAAATACTGATCTAAGACGAACTGGAGAGATCAATCTCATTGAATGACTCAACTAGTAAACCCCAATTAGGATCTTATTCAATAATTTACCATTCAAAAAGAATATATTTACAGCATTTATGCATGTAAGACTTGCGTTAAAGGTAGTTGTAATCGTTGGACTTATCATGCTGATAAACTTTCTTCATGTTACATGACATAATCATCTGACTTTGTTCAAACTTCAAGGTATATCCAAGAAACACTAACAGAGGACTGTAACCTCTCTGCATGCAATGAAGGCACTGTGTATGTCCTGATAGAAAAAAAGTGGGTCACTCTCACACACAAAACAAATACCTCTTCCGTTTTTCCTTCTACTTCTTTTTCCTAAACATAACAATAACAGACTCAACTTAAACATCAAATTAATAAATTTTCACAATGATTTACAGACAGAAAGTATAACAGTGACAAAATTCTCTTTAATACTTTTTGAAATATCGTCAAATTTAATGTAAAGCTGTTTGAGAGTTACCATATCACAAGACAATTGTATATAGAAATTACCAGTCTAACCATCTGATCATACTGACTTGACATACCTTAGGCTTTCTCATTCATTCACATATTTCTGTTCACATTCATGTCTTAACATAACGGCAGTTTGTGACAGGAACCTGTCAAATGTCTTGAAAATAGGAACCTGTCAGAAGCCCGAGTTGTAAGCTTAGTTACTTATCATTCAAATGTCTTGAAAATATGGTCGAGCCAAGTTCTGGCAAGTAGACTGAAAGGTTTTGAGAATAGACTGCATTTCTCAAAGTTTAAGGCTGCTGAGCTGCACATGATAGTCATAGAAAACAAAAAATATTTGAACATATATCAGCTAATACAATCTAACTGAACATAATTAGTCAACTCAGGTCAGTTATGCAGGAAGGGGACCACAACAACAACAACAACAACAATACCTCATCCTTCTTCTCCACCTCCTCCTCGTCCTGGTAACACAAGCATCAACACCATCATACTTTTGCATGTTATGCTATCATTTTTAATGCTGCACTCAGCAATATTTCAGCTATATGACTGATGTCTGTAAATAACTGAGTCTGGACCCGACATCATCAGCTATGCAGAAGGGATCTTCTAACATGTATCAAACTAGTTAGCAAGTCTCGATCCCATGACAAGCATGAGTTGATGAAGTCCAACACTACTTTGTGGCTGCAAAAGCAGGAGACTTTGATGGTGGGAGAATGCGGTAGAAAGTCAGTAATATTCCAGCTATGTCAGAGTGGCCTAAAGGCTCTGATGACAACCAATCAGTCATTACCCACTGAAGTGACTCTGTGAGTCAGTTGAGTTTATTGCTCCCTTGAACAGTATTTCAGTTATATCACAGGATGTTATTTGATGTGGGGGAAAGTTCGAATTAGTGCATCACTTTGGTAAACCCATGAGTTGTTGAAACCATCAGCACAAATTGCAAATTTGAACACATGATCACAAGTTCCTCCACAGTGAATAGAAGATCCTAAAGGACTGGGCTTACTGTTTAGCCATCTTTATTTACGTAAAAGTATAAGGTATCCTTTTTGCAGCTACTACTGCTGTAAATCACTGAAACCACTGCTCCATCAATATGTTAAAAAAAGGGTCTGACTAATGCTTAGTCTCTGAAAATAGAAAATTTTAATAAAAACAACCAACTCCATTTATAATGAAAAGATCCAAGGGGACAAGCAACCTCAGGAAAAATCTAAGACTTCATTTTGTGCTATAGCATTAGAGTAATGACTGAGCACAACTGAAAATATTTTGCTTGAGGGACTGTATGACAGACTATAATACCTCATGCATTTGGAGAACGCAGTGAAATCATTCAGATGTCAGATATGTCATCTCCCAGCATGCCTTGCTGACAGTGAAAATGTGAGTGAGTTTCCAAGTTATCATGTCTCGACATAGCAGTACCATATACAAAATATATTAATACAGTCTTATAATGAAGTTCGTATTTATTTGACACAATTAGTCACTTTTCGTTCCTGGAAATGAACAACATGTATAGTTATTGTTTGAGAAAACTGTATTATAGATGAAGGAATTCTTCAACAATATCAAACAATGGTCTGGGAGATAAAGTGATCTCACAAACCTTTACAATGACAAACAAAGTGAAGACAACCTACAAAATACAGTGTCATCATTAACATGATTAAGTCTGATATAAGTGATTGTGTGTGAAAACAAAAAACATTGCATCAACAGACATCACAAGGTACATTGATGCATGTGACATTAAATCTGTTAACAGCTGTGAATATCTATAAATGACCTTTCAATAGAAAAGTAAATACCTCTATCTGTGCTTGAGATACTTCAATTTTGTCAGCCATCTTCAGAAATGCATATATATTGTTTGTCTCCACAGCCTCATAAAATTGATCATAGCCCTGCAAAAAAAGGAAAGCACTGAAACATTTTTCATACATGTACATGTAGAAGCAGTATGTACATGTTATTGTTAACCTTCCATTGTTCTGTGTTCCTATTCACAACATACTTGTCAAAAGTTAGGTAGGAGAGAATATTAGTTATTCTAAGATGCCTAGCGGTTAGAACAATCGAAAAAAAAATACATTATCAGACAATAAAGGTATAGTTTTTTGATGACGTAACAATTGAATGACGTTGTCCCGTCACTGCGCCATTCTAGTCTGCCCCCTCGTAATCGAATTATTTTACATTACGTCACAATGTAAGTGACGTCACGATGCATGTCAGTTGTCATCGCCTCGTACGGCCTCCTACAGTAAACTACTCCGTTGCATCCCGTTCCTTGGTTTGCATTTGCTTCACGCAGCTAACATCACTGGTGGAAACATTACGTTTATGTTTTACGACGGGTTAAAATGTGTCAATTCGACTCACAAGTTTTCAGCGACACGGTAGCGTTAGCAATGTTTACATACCCACAATGCAATCGTGGAATGTCGCTTTGACTACTCAGAATATTAGAACCCTAATGCTTAGTCTAATCTTTGGTAAGGTAGGATTGAATATTAACCCTAATTATCAATAAAATAGTTTTAAAAGAGTAAAACAATACTTTATCAAGTTTATTAACATGTTATTGATAAACCTTCCATTTTCATAATTATAACCTAAATAAGATGGAATAATCAGAATATAGTAGTACTTAATCATGTATATATTAATATGTTACTAATAAACATTTTTTCTACAATTTTCATAATTTCTTATAGAGCACTTAAAACAGTTGAGTTTACAATAGAAATGTCTCTTGGCCTTACAGTGTATTGTTATTTCATTTGTCTTGTCATGTAAATGAAAGGGAGATCCCTTTTAATATATCTGCCATCCATATCCGTGACAAGGCTGGTAGAAAGAATTTGATACTGTCCATTAAGTTGAACACCTAGTCTTACAACTGGATTCCTAAATGATTCCCTTGTATACTCATACAACTGACCCACTAAAGCAGAATTCAGATCAGATCAGTCTCTAGGATATTTATCCAATATGTCCAGGAGATATTTCTGAAATGTGGTTATGAAACAGAAGAATGTGCCATGAAATGTCTTAAAAAGATATGAAAATGTCTTTTATATTCCATTTCTATCCCAAAACATCACCAGGGAAGCCAGTAGCACAGTGTACCCCTTTTCTTATAACTAGTCAACAGGACTAGTGGAAACCACGTTTCCCCATTCCTCAGAGTTTGTAGGTAATCCTTATTGAATGAAACAAATATCATGTTTACTATGTTCACATTTTCTACAATATGTTCTACTTCCAAGTTGACACAAATTTGAGAATGGCTCAAGAATTATAGTCTGTACACAGAGGTAAATCCAAGTAGTAAATGAGGACAACAATCACTGGAGTATTTCTTGGCCCCCAGCATAATTTAGTGGTTTTAGGCCATAGGACTCATATGAAAGTTCAAAGTGAACTCCATTAATTTTTAAAGTCTTAATGACTTACACCACAGTACTGATCATCACTGAATATCTGTGGAGGCAAAGGGTGCTTCATTCCTTCCCTTGGTTCTGCATTTGCTCTCATAAACTTCCTGTCTTCTTCTCGGTTGGGGTCAGAGATGTCAACTGTCTCCATGGGTATGCTCATACTGGACAGAATGTCTGTCACATGCAGCATCTCTTTCTTAAGCTGAAAAAAGCAACAATGGCAACATTTAACACCTGTAACTCTTACAAGCATATAACACTGAAAAACACAGAGCAAAGAACATTTATGATGATGTATTTCAAGGCAATGAGTCCCCATGCTAAAGGTGACTATCAGGGACATAGAAATGAATGCATGTGTAAAATGTTGTGAGTCTGCCTGGCTAAACGTACTGAACTCATCTGTTGGTAACATTTTCTAACAGCTCTGAATGTTACCATATTAGTATGAAACATGCCACTTGTCTGAATCCCAAGTCTGGAAACTTTCTGTTTGGTCCAGTGAGCAAAGTTAACAGCATTGAATTTTCCATATTTATAACATAAAAATCTACTGACCAGTTGTGGCTCTGGGCTGTAATATACTTATTCAAAGTCTAGTCGACATGTGTACACTCTCACAATACCCAGCATGCATTTTCCACTACTACTATTAATTGACCCTGTACTCCAATTGTCATCCTATATCCAGCATGTATGTATTCTTTATAATTGCACTATGTTGTATTATGGGCCAAGGGCCTACATTACTGAAATAAAATGTCTGTCTGTCTGTCAAAGTCTAGTAATATTTCAATAGTATGTCCAAAAAGCTCAATTAATAATCGTGATTAATGTTGATATAAATACACCATCTTCTACTGAAAATGGTGGTCACAGCTCAGAACCATGTTTTCTCTGTAGACTTCAACATGGACTGTTATCATGATTATGAGCTATTTTTTGACAATATTAGCAAGAATTAAAAAAATTCAATCAAATGAGGCTTCAGACAAGTGGCTAAAGTCACTAACTGGAAATATTTTATATTAAATATCTGGCCAAGCATCATCATAATTAGGGTTAGACATGGCCAAATGTCCATTTGTCAGAGGTAACAATCTGGAATGAATAGTTGTTATCTCCCCAAATCCAGTTATTTTCCATAACAGCTAGTCCTGAATGATTTGCAGACTAGCTGAATATGAGAAATGGTTTCTAACTTACTACCCCTGATCAATGCTCAGAATTTGAGTATATCTAATGGTTCACATACATGTCATAACAAGGACCCCTTGACTTTCATTTGAACACAGTTAAACAACAACATGCCCTTCAATCCCTAGCCAGTGGTCTGCATGTGGTGTAACAAATTTCCAATTTATCACATTTGTGAGCTGCTTTCACTTCTTTAATACCTCTTTTAATAGTAACCATGCAAATTATAGAAGGTGCATTAAATACAGAACCAGCAAAATAACCTTTAAACATATGTTCTTTTTTCTGTATAAAATGAAGCTTCATGTGTAGAGTTTGTACCTTGCAATGATCACTTGTGACATACGATGCAGGATAGTGGTACCAGGAAGGAGCAACATGTTCATCTGACTTTTGAGTGAGTAAATTAATGTTGCTTCATACCTAAGCCTACATCTTATACAAATATTAATAATAACCATAAAATGTAAAATATATCAGTGCATCCACGGGGACTCAGAAAAAGTGTAAATACTTTTTGTAAAAATTCCAATCAAGTGACAATACGTTATCACTGAGTTTGCTACTAGCTGGGTTATGGTATTATTTGCAATTTAATTACTGTAACAATGTGATGATCATGATACACAATAAAATAACAGAATTAATAATAATATTTAGGTGTCTGGGACCCCCATTTTGTTGTCCAGGACCCCTGGAAATTAAGAGTATGAGTCCCAGGGACCCTCAAATTCAGGACTCCGTGTAAAACGATGAATCAGTTAGCTATTCATTAATCCTGAATTAATGCCCCTACAGAAGTCAACTACTAGAACTGTTGCCAGCTTCGATAAGCCTTTAAAATTCAGCCTCATAACAGAAAACTCCATGTGTTGGGCATTTTGATGTGGCACATTACTTCTGATTACTAAAATGTCCAAGACCAACTCAGGCACATATTGCTGTTAATCCTTGATTCATTGAGTGATTTACCCTTCATTTTGTTATGAATCACCATCGAGAGTTAGAGCACCAAGTATTAGCTTGAAGTTTGGTAGGCTTTTATGAGACACCTTGTTGATTCAAGCTGGTGTGGACACAAGATTTACACTGTTTACTATGTCCTGACTGAAAACATTCCTTGAAATGTTTTGGGAAGGTGTCACTTTCTAAAACAGGTTGTCATATTTTTTAATGTGCTGCTTTTAATTCACATTTCAAATTCGGTTTACCTCAATAAATGTAACACAAATCAAGAAATAGCTCTGTAAGCAAAAGTAGACATGAATTAAGGGCTATTTCAAAATTGTTTCCTTACATAGACAGCAACATACACTTGCACTGTTTACCATGTTACCAACGTCATAAAGATATCACTGACACCAATCATTATTCGTTCATTTAGATTTGTGACACCGTGATTATTGATGAGTGCAAACACAAGATCTAACTTTCAAGCAGAAGTCAAACTAAAGGTGAAAGTTTTGGTTATGGTCAAACAGTCACATAATGTAAGAAACTCAATAAACAACGCTCAAAGTTTAGGTTCAACGACTCAGCAGTTTCCAAACTTTTGTAAACAAACATTGTCTGGTGTCATTTTGACATAGCGAAATAAACGAGTGGGTGTGGCTAGTTTTGTTGACATATTTACCTGCGTACTGCTGCAAATGTTCGTGAGGTAAACCTTGATCACCATCTTGTCAAAAATTTGCAAGTTTACTGGATCGAAGAAGAAAGTCAAATGATCAAGGGATAATGAGCACCACCCGAAATTCCTCGATGATTCCGATTATGGACAGATTAGAGGCTGTAATCCGAAACTACCCCAAACATCCGAGACTTTCCAGGCTTCTGCTTCCCGTGACGTCACAGGAAATGAAGCAACGTAGAACGCATGAGATTGAACGCATAAACCCATGACGTCACATCATACCAGCAAAGTTGTTGCCTTGTTGCTTGGCAGATAAATAACAAAGTGCATACCGGTGTGCACGTTGATAGAAGTTTTCTGTCAACCTACTCTTATCGGATTCATGAAAGATGTACCTTCTTGGTAAGGCGTGTTTTGGACTAATGGCGACGATCTGAAAGTGGTTTGACAAATGTATGTATGCAGATTTTGTGAACCTCAGTGTTGACTTGCACACAAGCCTACTGAGACACTTGTCAACAACTGCATTATCACTTTTGCCACCTTCATCTTTAATGTAGTATTTGATAACTATGCTAGTCTGTACATTTTCACTAGCAGATACTGTGGCATGTATTTGCATTTGGTATGTTGATAGACTCTAACTTGTTAAAAAAATGCATCTTCATTCAGTACATCAATTATTCTCATTTAAAAATAACAGACCAAGATGACCCATTAGATCTATAGTAAGAATATTTTTAATACACAACTGTTTACCTCATTGGTGAGTTCATTTTCAACAATTGAGACTTTGTTTATTGGGGGCTTAACAACCATGTTAACTGTGAAAATCATGTATTAACTGGTCATACCAAGATTCATGCCACAAAGTAAGATCTCCAAACTATTTTTCCTAAAGAACAATGTTGAAACAGGTGACCAGTCACGCATATTGCTGTGGGAAATGTCAGTGTGAGGCCTTTGTTGTTAATGTAACATGATAAACAGTATGTTGCCATCAGCAATGATGACACAAAAGAAGTCTGCAAATCTATATATTGCCTGTCATGCCATCAACATGATCAATGGCTGTACAGTATGTATTTTTCAGTTTATCATTCGCTGATGATCCTGTTTATTCTTTTTGTAAAAGATTATTAGATAAACTGTATAGCTGTCTGGTCCTTCATTGCCAGTATATTTTATTTGGCTTTTAGACTAGCTTGTGTGATGTTAATATTAATAAACTGTCCTTGGTGTCTGTACATGGTATAGTGTCTTTGGTTAGGGAGATAAGTTCCGTAAGTTATCATGGTCATGATAAAAATCTAAGTAGCTTAATTTGTCAGGGTTTTTTTATCAGTGAGACATCTGATAGTGATAAATGAATTGTTGATAAGTATGTCAGTTTTGTTTGAACCTAGTTATACTTTTGGTATCCTCAGGTTGGTACAAGTCACACAATGATACTTAAATCACAATTTATGATTCTTAATATAGAATGTAACTGGAATCTTAACTTCATAACCTTGTCCCAAACAAATCTTCAGGATGTTGAAAATTGTTTATGTTTATATTCTGGACAGTTAACACAATGTCCAAGATATTTTTATGGATTAAACTTCTTTTAATTTCTCTCAACAAAGGTCCCTTTCATGTGAACTGGATGACTATGATTAAATTGTTTATCACAATGCAAGTGACATCACATACACTTCCTGTATAAGTGAGTTTGAAGAGTTAATTATAACTCACCATAGTCCTAACTGCCAGTTCACCTGATGAAGGGACCTGGAATGGTCTCAAGCGTCGTGAAGAAATTAAAAAGAAGTTTAATCCATAAAAATATCTTGGACACAGTTAACACAATGTCTACAAATAGTGGCTATATTTTTAATATGGCAATGTGCAGAGTGATGTTTTTTACCAGGAAATTATATTTAATGGTGAAGAAAAATAAGTTTTTTTTATGTTATTTAGTACACCATCAGCTTCCTCTGTCATCGCAATTAGAGTAAAGCTTTCATTCTATTTCTGTCTTCAAGTTTTCTGATTTCAAAGTCTTACTTAGGGATAGGACATGATGTTTGTTGTTCTGCACATATGAACAAATACTCTGATAAAGATTTTATCCATCTTTGACACTTATTTCTCTTCCAACTAAAGATATAAAGTTTGACTTTACACCATCTTGTATGGTGAGATGTGGTGATGTCTGCTGTTGTAGAAAAGTCTCAGGGAATGAAGAATGCTTTCCTCAATAGATGTGCTTTCCTTTTTGTTCAGCCAATCTCCATGCATTAGTAACCCAGTTGACTTCACAATGGGGCTTGACAGATCCTTTCTCAGTAGTTTATGTGGTTATTTGTAAAGTTACCTGGACAGCCTGGGGCACCCTGGTATTATGTCATATTGAGTATCAGCAGTAGGGCCATTGTCAACTCAAGGTACAAAGATATGGAAGCGTCTGAATGGGGTACAAATTCGCTTGGTACTTTTCCTGTTGTAGGGAAATAACAATTAATACATTTAGCTTAAAACAAACATTTTTCTTTGCTACACTGACACTTAAAACATTGATAGTTGCCTTTAAGATATTGATACACTGTTGCCTTTAAAATATTGATACACAGTTCCCTTTCAAAACTGATACCCAACTGGCAGTTATCTTTGAAATATCTGTACATTGGTGCCTTAAGATACTTAAAGACATCCTGTTGTATTTACATACTAGTGGCAACAGAAAATGGCCTCAAACAAGTTATAGGTAAATTGCTACCTCAAAAAATGTATTTAGGTTTTGAAGAGGCCAGTTTTATTCTATTCTTTGCATGTCAGAAAATTGACAATGCGAGCAGTTCCACTGTTAATGTATGTTGACGGAGATTGTTGATGTCTTTGCTAGATGTTTGACCTATAGTATTCAATAGACTGGGTTTATCTAGGGTTATTCTTAATTAACTCTGGACAATGAACAACACAGAACCTTATCTTCAACCTGAAATGGTATTGATGCGCGTGCTCGTATGTACTGCTCAGTGAAACATGAATTTCACTTCACACCGAATGGGTTAATCATGTGTTGTGTCAATACAGCTCAAGTTACATGCTGTCGAACAAGACAGATATCTCTAAGTATATAAGTATATGTTGTGTGGTATCTTTACCCTGTTTATACCTATATAGAGACCAGAACAGTGATATGGCTCTACAGTTAAGGAAATGTTACAATCACTTTTCAGGTAAAATGTGCTGATGCAGTGCATGTTTAAGATGTTTATGTAGTTTCATAAGTGTTTTTGTATTTTTTGTCATTCTACTTTATCTGATGGTTTACAAATGAAAATAGGTGCTCTGGGATTGTCTAGGGGTTAAAGTCTTCGCTCATCATGAAGGCTTGAGCTCGATTCACCACCTATATACATGATATAGCTGAAATATTGCTAAATGTGTTTAAAATCCAAATAACTCTCTCACAAATGGTACTTTATAGTTTGAAGTCCATTAATCAGAATTTTGGGATGATTTTGTTGTAATGATGTGTCAACAACAGACAGGTAGAAGGGACTAGGGGTAGTGGGGTTGAAATAAGCTTTTGTTAGCTAAATAAGACTTGTGCATCACTCAAATTAGCAGTTTGTGATGTGTTTTCGTAACATGAATGAAGTATTGAATGTTTCATGATGTATGATTGCAACTAAAAAAGTATGTCAGTTTACAGCCATACTTCTCTGCATCAAAGCCATCTTTGATTGTTGCTACTCTTCGCTGTTTCTGCCTGATGTAATGATAACATTTTATAGAATCATAAGTTTGAAATTTGACTGGGTATGTAATTTCACTTTGATTTGTTAATTAATTTAATTGTTTCTTTGGCATTTCTTGGAAGTCGTTGGATGATAAAGTTGCTTCTTTAAAATATTATACCTATGTTTCCATATGGATCTTAATTCTTTTGAGAAGTAGGTATTTTTACATTGTTGTGCTTGACAACAGATTTAGATCTGTGCTGAAATGTCACTGTAATAGTTGATCAAAGAAGTTGTTATCCATAACATGCATAAAACTGTATCTTCCTTGCTATGAAATAATATGCAGCCATAAGAGACAAAAGTATGTATAGCTTTATTCCATGTGTTTAAACAGTTGATAGTTAGATATCATCAAGTGGCATTGGGTTACACATCTGGAAGTATGTGCACTGTAATGACACAATGTGCCTCAATCAGATCTGATCACACATTGTCTTACAGTCACACATGGCTGCCACTTGTAAAGGGAGGATCTATGTGTATGTAGTCATAGATGCTATCTTGTTCAGGTTACAGTCAAACATAATCTGGCTTTGTTAGTGTGTTCTTCTACAGGCAGTGTAGAATATCATTGTCTGCTAACCCAAAACTTGCTACTGTGGTCAGTGAGCTTGGGTTGGACCAGCAGCCCCACAAGCTAATATTTCATTGTTTGAAATTCAATTGAGGTCCTGGAGCATTTGACATTTTTCTGCTATAGCTCTTCATTCTGTGAATGTACCAAGACTTGATTGCATTGGTGTCATGATCTTCATTTTTAATTCCAAATGTTGTGTAATTGTTGGGAAGAGACGAGATCTCTTCACTGAAAATCACTGAAACTGTTTTAACAATTCCAGTTAATACTCTTTTTTTGAGTGGTCCAAACTAAATTCCTTGACAATGGTGAATTATAGTTGTATGTTCTGGATGTTATAAAGTAAAATCAAGTCTTTGCAAGATTGTATGAGTGAGTGAGTATGTGAGTGCTTGAGTTTAGTTTTACGCCGCTTTTAGCAATATTCCAGCAATATCACGACAGGGAACACCAGAAATGGGCTTCACACTTTGTAGTATTGTACCCATGTGGGAAATCAACCCAGGTCTTCAACGTGACAAGTGGACCCTTTAACCAATCGGCTACCCCTAGATTGTATGACAAAACACATCTGACGCATAAATATAATACACAAGCATGAATCCATTTTCATTTTGTTGTTTCTTTACAAATTTCATCCATTAACCAATTCCAAGCCCCTAACTGACCAAAACCGTAAGTTAATTTAACTTAAATTCAGGAACTTGGCTCTCAAGTAGAGTGTAACAATACAGCAAAACAGTGTTTCATAGGTTAATGTTTGTAGTTTCCCGACAGTATCACATCTTTGCCGTCTGAAGTTTGTAATTCACCTGTGAAAAGGGAGAGAATATGAACTTATGAAATAGAAATACTGTATTGGAATACACATTGTATCGTTACACTCTTGTGCTCAGGCTTGTTGTTCACAGTAGGAATCACTGGATTGTCTGGATCATGCTTGATTATTTACAGGTCACCGACATTTTGCTGTAGTGTAGCATTAAACAGCAAACAAGCAAACATTTTATTTAGTCTGTAAAGCATTATTTTTTCCATTTTTTTTTCCTTGCAGTGCAAGTCTGATAGTGGTTGTGTGGCATCACACTCAGCTTGAAATAGTGGCCAGCCAATGGGAGACAGGTGACAGTAAAGGGAGGCAACCAGGCAACACCAGCACCAGCTATGTCGAAGGACGACTACGATGATTACAGCGATGACTTCATCAGTGATGATGAGGACTTTAAGAGCAAGTCCAGGAACCAAGGGAAACAAGGTGGTAAGTAGCTTCACATCATGAGCATGTGTGGTCCTTGACTTTCACCTGAATAGGTACTGGCTTTAGTATGTAAGACCACTCCTGTGTTACAGTGTGAGAAGATTAATAGTAATTGAATACAAGGGATAGGTGCATGACTGGTTACATGGAGATGAGCAAGGTAATGCTCCCTATGGGTAGGGGAGTTAGAGGTTTTTGATGCACTAACATACTGAAAATTATGTACGACCCTTCCCTAATGCTCGTCATAAACTTTCACTCACATGACCTCGCATTCTTTTGTGATTTAAGACTGGTAAATGTTGCACTTGGCTTTAGATGACACTTACCTGGTACTTGTCTTAAATCACAAGCTGAAAGACCTAGAACATGAACAGAGTAGCAATAAATCCATTCCAGCATGACTGGACACATGTTTGAAATCGGAACACTTTTATGCGTAAGGGCACAGAGGTGTGATAGGGCGTTATTTTCTAGGAATTAGAGTTTAATTGTCAAACCTAAGAACGGATTGTGCAATGAATAAAACAAGTTTGCAGTATTTCAGTAACTTTATTTTGGATACTGAAATGTTTTTTCTTTCTTATAAATGGAAACAGTGATGTTAGTTACATAGACTACAAACTCGAAACCATTTTTATACCATTAAATGCAATCGAAAAACCACCCCACCCCTACAGCATATTACTGATTGACTCGCCCATGACCTAAGGTATCTGTTGACTGTCAACCCGAGTAACTGAACTTGCTAACTTCTACTTACGGAAGGAATTATTGATCACCACACTGCTGTTTCCAGTTTGGCATTGAGTAGACAAGATCGTTTTAATCTGGGACACATTTTCTGTAGATGGGTTGGGGGTTTACATGTAAAGATTTGTCACTTACTGCCTCGAAACCTTTGAAGGGTATTGTGTATTTTGATAGCCCACAAAAATATTAATAATAGTGCTGTAACGATGCATCGAACTGTCGATGGAATGCAATTGTTGAGTCTCCGATAGCAATTAATCGATGGTAGAAATGAAAAACTATCGATGCATTGATAATATGTGTGACTATCGATAGTTTAGTAATTGACTAACGTTGATAAATGTGCAGTGCAAAATATAGGAAGTACCAAATTCGTTCCCTTTGATTTAGAGTTACCCGGCCCTGTTACCTCTTAAACAAACATGACTGTTTACTCGATCTGGGTTTCAAGTTTCTTGTCAGTTATTGTTTGCAATAGTATGTTGCAATAGACAATCACTATCGCAATAGTTGTTTCCCCCTCAAAAGTCACCCCTAATTATTAATGTAATGTTTTTATTCAATGTTTTTTATACAAAAAATATTTAATTTGAAACATAATTTTTGTCATATTTTTGTAATTTGTTTAGAGTAGCAACCATGTGCAGTACAGCTGTTGTCTAGTCTAGAACCAGGCATTAACTTAGTGACATTGAATTTTGTTTTTTTATGCCAATATTTGTAAATGTATTATCTTAGTGGTCATTGAACCATTCTGAATTTACATCAAATTCGTCTCCAAACACCTTGTAGAAAATACTGAGATGAAAATCACTGATGTCCGATCCTGACGACAACTAAGGGTCAGCAAGTGTTATGTATTCATATGCAGGTGCAGTAGACCATGTAATTTGCAGTCCTTTGATTTAGATTTAAGATTGATTGTGGTCAATAACCAACCAATCGAGTATCCCTCAAAATCATGCTAGAAAAAGGGTTAAGGTTACCAATAATTGCACAGTGGCTCCTAGAGTTTGTCAAAACTGAATAACACACAGAAATAACATGTCATATTCCTGTATTCTTGATGCTTTCAATTTTTTTCATGACTCAAAAAAACATTCATTGCATCTTTAGAACAATGTATTTACATAGGTGCATTTTTTGGGCAATATTAATGTTGGGTTTCCAGTTTTTTTATGATTATGCTCCTAATGGTTTATCAACAGGTTAATTCTCGGAACTGAAAGAATCTTTCATATTGAATGAATTGCTAGTCTCTAGGCTTCTTTCATTCACAAGAGATGGATAACTTGTAAGTCCTCATCCCTTGAAGTTGACTTTTCTATAAGTCAGGCATCATTACTGTTAGAAGGAGAGCTGAGGCCCCTGTTTGCCAGCTGTGTGTACCTCCTGCAGCCTGGGCCAGAACTGTACACCCCAGGTGCAGTCATTATCAGACTAGAGTGAATGGGTTGTCATGATCACTATCAGTTAACGGTTCTATAAATGTTTCAAGTAGCATTCCAGTGATTAATGAAAGCTTGAAAATCTACAGTACCAGGGGAATGAAAGTCTTGCCTTTAAGATTACACAATTTTGATTGAAGTTTGCTAATGAGTAATGATGCTGAAGGTCATCTATTTACCTGTGATAACTGTACTCATTAACTGAAGTCTGTGCCGCCATACAGGGTTCAAGATGTCAGGATCTGGCTCAGCCAGTCACTCTTCTCTAAAACTATCGGATTTAAGGAGAGACTCTGATACATTCTGGACGTCTGGTCGTGGCTTGACTCATGACCTGATCCCCATGCAGGTCATCTCGACCCCTGCACCAGAAACCCCCATACCGTCTGACCATGACAGTCAGGCCAGTTCACTGGATGATCATCCCAAATCCAAAGCTCTGGTTCCATCAGTTCGTCAAAGTTCTTCAAGAGCTCAGTCTGCTTGTCATTCCACACATCTGCAGAGTGCTCATACTCGTAGAGTAAGTTTGTCACGGCGTGACCCATACCCGCACCCCAGCATCCCACCTGATGGCTGAGCTGACTGAGGAGACTGTGTCTGGGGGGGAGAGGGAGACACATGCTGTCTCCAAGGCAGTGAAGAAAGCACCTGCCCCTGCCAGAACAGGATGGAACAGAGTGATGGGCAGACCTCGCCTTAGGCAGTGTAATTAGAGTTTGACATCCATGTGTGCTTACCTTGGTGCACATTTCACATCGGGACCAATGTGCACTCACTGTTTGCAGTGTCAATGATAACCAAGAATATTACTCATAAGGGTAGAAAGATCTTGTGTGATAACTGCACAATATTTTACATTTCTCAATGCTGATTGGTCAAGTGAGGCTGACTGGTCAAGTAATATGATGCTCATAATAGTATTTTATGATGTCATCCATTTTTATAAATTGATAACATTACGAAATCTGAACAGTAGTTTGACTTATGTTAGGTTTCTTTTAGGATTTTGACTACATTTAGTTTTGTTTCTTTCTGATTAGAACCGTGAAGATCCCAGTATAGAATTGGTCTTCAGTAACCCGTGCTTGTCGTAAGAGGCGACTAACGGGATCAGGTGGTCAAGCTCAGTTGACAAATGTCATTGTATCCCAACTGAGAAGGATGATGCTGAGGCTGGATTGTCTGGTCCAGATTCAGTTATTTACAGACCGCCTCCACATAGCTGGAATACTGCTGTCAGTGCGGGCCGTTAAACAACAAGCAAACAAACAAATCTTTCTGATTGATGTATGGAATAGCCTTCATTCCTCTCCTTAACACATTATCTGTAATTGCTCACAGCTAATTAGTTATTTTGAAAATGCTATGCAGGAAAGTTGACCGATTGAGTCTGCTGACAGCATATTGAGACATCCAAGTTGTGTGCCACCTTCACTGCAGGCTTACTATGTGTGAAGATTTCATAAATGCACAGCACTCCAGATGCATGATTTGACCAATGAGAAGTTATGTGTTATCCTCGGAAATTTGGCAAATAGATGCTGTTTGTGCAAGGAAATCAGCATAAGTTTCCCATCACTCACTCACATATTATAATGGATCTGATTTCTTCATGCCACTGACTTGTAGTTTCTTTTTTGTAATTATACTGGTATATTGTCAATCCTATGGTTGTTTAACTGTTAATGGAAGTTGCAAATGACTTTAAGCCATGACAGTGAAAATGACAATTGTTACATTGAGAGTTATGAGCAACTGGACTAGTCCATGTTTAAAACTCATGTTGAATAGAAAAGGAAAACACCGAAGAGTCTAGATGATATCAGTGAGGCCAGCCGATGGAGCAGCTTTTCAGTTTGAAGGTCCATTCTACTTTGGGTAGATGAGTAAAGTCATGATGACTGAACCTGTCAGGCTGTCTGTATAACTCATATTGGTTGTTCACACTGCTTTAGTAGTACCAATAGTGAAAGATGCAGCATGGGTTGACGGATAACATTCAGACATTCATAGGTGTAGGGTAGCCTAGTGGTTAAATTGTTCACTCTTCACCCTAAGACCTGGGTTTGATTCTTCAAGTGGGAACTATGTGTAGAGCCCATTTTGGTGTCTTCTACTGTGATAATGCTGGAATATTCCTAAACGTGCATGCTGACATTCACTCATTCCACATGTTAAGACAGTTATCATTTCTCTCCTAAGACAAAATGTTACATTTGTGCATACAAAGAGAAGTTTTATCTGACTGATATTACTTTTATGTTAGACGAAAACGTTGTGTGAGCGACATTTACAGCTAACATAGAGTTGTCTGGATGTAAAAGTAATGTCAGCTGTTGGCAATATTATTGTTATATAATGGTTAATATTTGGTACATTTCATTTGTATGTTATGGCTATTGAATCTCTGCTGATTATTGGTAATATTAAAGCTAATTAGTGTTCATTAAGCTGTTTTTGAACCTATATTTAAGTGCTTACTTCCTTGGGTTTTGTTAAGCTATGAAACCAGTTAATCCTTCTATTAATAATTTGTATCCTTCATGACATAAGAAATTGTTACTAAGACAAATATCTGTTATGAAAAATGAAGTATGGAGATGCATATTTCTAATGAAATGTTTCATTTTAGCTGTATATGGAAAGAAAAAGGCCAACCCGAAATCAAGAGGCCATGGCAGAGGTCGTGGAGGAGGACCACCACAGAAGCAGTCGCCTAGAGTGGATTATGTTGCTCAACGCATGCTTTCTGCAGGTCGCATCAAGATTAATGAGCTCCGAAACCAAGTGGAGGACCAGAACACAGTGATCCGAGAATTGCGTGAAGAAAACAAGTTGTTGAAGAAGACACAGCACCGTCATGAGAAGGCTTTGACGAAGTACGAAGATCAGGAGGGCGACCTTCCAAAGCTCATACTCCAGCACAACAATGAGACAAGGACACTCAAGGATCAGCTTAGAACCATGAAGGAAAAGTATGAGAAAACTGATCGCTACCTCCGAGATGCAGAGGATGATCTTGACAGAGCCAATGTCAAGTTGAAGAAGTACAAGAGTTATGCAGAGAACAAGGGGCTACCAGAACGAGATGAACTCAACCGCAAGTTGTCCAAGGCAGAGTTGGACCTTGAGGAGAAGGACAGAAAGATCAAGGTCAGTGGCAGGTTGAAGGTCCCCTAAAGGGACTGGTTGCTTTCACTCCCAGAAGAACTGCCATTGTATCAGTCACTGAAAAAACCATGACATGGGTTCAGAGTTAAAGGGAATCTGGAATCCTTGAATATTTTTGTCTATAGTATTGGAAACAAGGAACTCTTTAATTCTTCAATTTTCATCATGAGGGATATAAAAAAGACCTGTTTGACTTACATTCTTGAATTTGAACTCTGATATCTCTTTATACACTCACTAGGCTGACTGGAAGTTGAAATGAAATATCTCCTGATAGCTTCACCCTTTGTTTTTTTCAATTCTGGTACTGTAAAACCTCTTGATTCAGTGCTCTTTTGTATTAGTGTCAGTCAGTGGTTACTATCTATGATGTGTGTTTTATTATCTCCTTCAGGAACTGCAGCGACATGTTGAACACCTGAGCAAGAACCACCGCCATGAACTAGGGGTGGAGATAGCCCGACACCGTGAGACCAAGAGACAACTTGACCAGTACCAGGGAGACAAGGACAACCTGGAGACCAAACTGAAAGTAGGGGCACCAATAGGACATCACAGAGCCAGGCTCATAGACATTACAGGTTGACGCTCATGGGAGGGTTACCACATACTGTGACATAGACATTATAGGGCCAGGCTCAAGAGAGGGTCACTTTATGGACATTATAGGGCCACAGTGAAGGAAATGTTTACACAATGTCTGAGTGTTTGATCCAGGTTGTAGACATTTCACTGTGGTGAAACCCATGATAAAGGGTATGGTGGTAACAAACCTGGAAACATAATGAAACCAATATCAGAACCCATTGTAATACTTTTGTGGTTTTCCTGAGGGACTAAGGGATGCAACTCTGTCAATTTTCAGTTGGTTTGTGTGCTCACAGTTTGACTGTTGGTTGTTACAGGAGAAGGAGAAGGAACTGGATATCAAGAACATATACAGTAACCGCGTGATGCGTGCCCCCCACAAGCTGCCTGCATCCTACGGGGGCACACCCCTAGACACACCTCCTCCTCCACGCAGGAGAGTGCCCTCTGTCGGAGAGATGACGGCTAGGGAGAAGGCCCGAATGTTTGAAATGAAGCGGAGGGAAGAGGCAAAGAAGGTGGGTCACCTACAGGGGATTGTTTTACCAGGCAGTTCTAATATTACTGGCCTAGACTTTGTTAAGTTATGTGGCGTAGCACAATAATTGCTTTGTTTAAATTAATCCCATGCTTCAGAACAATGAGGAGATAAGCATGTTGTGGTTTTAATGTAGCATTCTGTTGCCTGGTGATTGGATGAAATATTGAAACAAAGATGCAGTTTAGGTTTTCAAATGATAAATCTAGTAATGTCTAATCTACATCTACCATAGTTCTACATCAAGGACACAATATGTTCACCTCATTTCTACCATGACCTATTTATGATGGGCTTAAGTATTCTGGCAGTTTGGTTATGAGCAGGGAATGTCAGTAGGAACATTTCTTGGAAGTGGGAATGCCATCTCCAAGTGCTGGAGGGTATCCTGTCAACTCTTAGTTGAATGTTCTTCTAAAGTTTAGACTCCAAACTTTTATATATTACAAGGGAACCCATTACAAGTCAGCCTTTGGGTCATCATCATTGTAAAAAGTACCAATTCTGTGATGTGGAGAAAGTCTTATGTAAAATGTATATCTCAATGACATTGTTGGTATTTCAGAACAAACCTAAACCTAAGCCCAAACAGGATGTGTTTGAAAACCGCTGGAACAAGGAAGGTGAGGAAAGGGATCGACTGGCAATGGAGGAGAAGGAGAGACGAGACCTGGAGAATAAGTACCTGCAGGCCAGGGAGGAAGAGGAGAGGAAGAGAGAGTGGCAGAGAGAGTTGGAGATGCAGCAGGATCAGGAACGACAGTTCGAGCAAGAACAGGAGGACCTGCGGAGAGAACGTCAACGCATGAAGAGAGAGTCAGAAGACCTTCAGAGACGGGAGGCCAACAGGCAAAGAGAACAGCGTGAAAGGGAGGAGAGGGAGAGAAAGGAACAGGAGGACCGAGACCGCCAGTGAAAGAGATGAAAGGGACAGAATCGAGAGAGAAAATAGACTTAGGCGAGAGCTTAAAGAGAGAGAAGAAGAAATGGAAAGTCAGGCCCAAGCAGAGCGTGAGAGACTGGACAATGACCCTCGTGTGTTGGAGGAACGTAGGAAAAAGGAACTGCTGCTAGCCAGGTTGAAGGCTATAGATGATGGGTCAAAGGAAAATGTGAGCCCAGTTAATCACTCTCCCTATGGAGATGACAGCTCAACTCCTATAAGTAGAAAGAGTTACTCGTTTTCCAAGCCTACCGAGAATTTACATAATGGCAAGCCAGCATATGAGGAAGTGAGCGTTCCGTACATAGACAGGAGGAAACAGCAGCGGGCCCAAGAGGAGGATGCAGCTGGGTATAACCCATCATTTGCCAGGAGGTCAAGTGGCACCTCCAGCAAGAAGTTGGGCATCAACGAATCTCCCTCCAGGAAACCCAACAAAAAGTCTGCCCTAATGGATGAACTGTTTGGAAATCAGAGTGGAACCAATAAAAAAGATGACGATCTGTTCCAAACCATAGACTCAAGAAAACAGACTACTAAGCGTTCGTCTGGCTTCCCTTGGGATGAAGACAGTACAAGTACGGCTACGGCATCCCGGCCACGGGAGAACTCTAGCACATTGTTTGGAGGTGGTGCTGCTCTTGTAGAGGATGATGGACCCTCAGATAAATCCAAACTGTTACCACGGCGACAGAGACACCAGTCCAGCACATTTAGTTCCAAACCTGCAGTGAGCGCAATTGACACATTTGAGGATGATATAGAGGAAGTCATGTTGTAGACAGGTTGTGTATAGTACCAACACTACAGTGCCTCATCCCGGAACCTTCATTTCAACATTGGCATCATCATACTACTTGAGAGATACTATTTTAATACAAGCATCTATAGCAATCACCTTCAGTTCTCACCACTCACTCAGCATCAGTCACCACTTTTACTCCTGTGCTAGTTGATCTGTTGTCATGTTGTGCAGGTCAATCCTGGAATATCTCACTACACGCACTCCTTCCTAGAATCTCTTGTGGAGAATTATCTATTTTGTTCTGAGTGTGGAATTCAATCAATGCTTCTCTTCCAGGTGATGAAACCCGGGTTTACAATGTCATACAATCATTCTTTGTTTGTTGTGTCCATTGTGGAAAATGAGTACACACACAGAACGCATGTCTGGTGGTTATATCTCAAGACTGAAGGATGAATGAACTTGAAAATGTGATGATTAATAACTTGACACATAAAGTATGTTTGAACCATACTTATATTTAAAAGCATGAGCCCTGGTACAAATAATTTTGTTTTGAAATTGTTGGAGCTTATTTACAAGCTTGATCTTGTCTGTTTCTACAACTGGGAAACTTACCATTAGACACTCAACATCACAGACTGTATTAGTGTGTGTGGGGCTGCTGTGGTTCTGTGGTCTCTGTATTGATCACTATGTCAACATTTACCAAAGATTTCAGGTGGTTATAACTAACAGTGTTATATCCATGATGTTTTAAGTTTTGTATTTTTGAAATATATTCAGACTGTTAAAGAAATGTTAGATTTGAGATCCAGTGTCAAATATTATTGTATTTGGTCCTATTCCCAACAAATCAGAAAATGTTGGTAAACAATGAATTTGAAAAATCAAAATTTATACAATAAATTTGATACTTTATGTTACAAATTTTCATTGAATGTCTCATATGACATTAATTCATTTTCAGAAAATAAGACTTAAAACAAAATCCATGGGTACTTAGGTTAAAATTGTAGATAAATCCATGATAATGATCACAGTAATAGGGTTTGCTTGAGGAACTGGGTGATAAATAGATTTGTATTCCTGTGTGGAGAATGTGAAAGATGCTGTGATATTATGGTGAAGGAGTACAATGACGGATGTTATCTTTAGGCTGTGATATAATGTGCCTTCAAGGCTAACTTTTTTGTTTTCAATGTTGAACAGAAGCAGTTTGTCCAAAAGTAATTTTTCTAGAACAAAATAGTCATTTTAATAAAACAAGACCACTTTTCATTCATGTTTTAGGACTTTACTTTGTTTTTGTGTTTAAGAGAATGGGGAAAGGGAAACAATGTTGAAAATATTGTGAGGGATACCTTGAGGCATATTTACTATAAGAACTCTTGAAATACAGGATTTGTCAAAATTACAAACATTATTACAAATTCATTAATTAAAACTCACAATACATTTTGGGTATTTATCTGTCCATTTCAAAATGTTTTGGGTCATGAAAAAATACAATGGTCTGACCTGCAAATAAATAGATTTTATTGCTATTGTAACTGTAATGGAGATTGTCTGTTCCGTCCATGGAAAGGGACTTTTTATGACCTAAATGTTTGTTATTTGTAAGATCTGTTACAGTGTTTGTTTGTTAATGTTTGTGCCATATCTGTGAACAATCAGTTTCATAGCCTCATATGCATTGTTTGTGGAAAAAACCACATTATTTTATTATGTATCAATTGCATTGGGCATAAATAGGACATGTAGAATATAGAATATGTTGAACCATCTCCTGTCACACTTGTAGTGTCAGGTGCAGTCTTACACAGGCCTCCATTGAAGACGCCCTGCAGTACTCACTGGTGACTTTGCTTCAGCTGTCAGAGGACCAGTCATCCAGCATGCTGACAACAGTTTGTGCTGTGAATTGATCCAAGGCTGGTAGACCAACATAGCTTGTGCTGCACATTTGTGCTACAAGTTGACCCAACAGGTTGGTTGACAGAACAGGGCTTGTGCTGCAAGTTGACCCAACAGGTTGGTTGACAGAACAGGGCTTGTGCTGCAAGTTGACCCAACAGGTTGGTTGACAGAACAGGGCTTGTGCTGCAAGTTGACCCAACAGGTTGGTTGACGGACCAGGGCTTGTGCTGCAAGTTGACCCAACAGGTTGGTTGACGGACCAGGGCTTGTGCTGCAAGTTGACCCAACAGGTTGGTTGACGGACCAGGGCTTATGCTGGAAGTTGACCCAACAGGTTGGTTGACAGACCAGGGCTTGTGCTGCAAGTTGACCCAACAGGTTGGTAGGCAGACCAAGGCTTATGCTATGAGGCGACCCAGTTGGCTGGTAGGCTGACTATGACTTGTGCAGCAAGTGCTTCTGATGCAACAGAGTACTGCCTCCAACACAGCAGACCCTTGACACCCAGTAGTTTGACCTTCAACCTCCCTACTAGTTTCTCTAGCTTATGGCCACAAACCTGTAGATAATCATGAAGTTTTGCAAATTTTGGTGCAAATTAACTTTTACTTGAAGAAGGTTGTATATTTTCTAACAAATATATACAGTTGTAAAAAATGACTATTTTCTTATTTAAAGATTGATAAGTACAATGATGCAGTTCTTTGAAATGTGAGATAAATACTGTATGGCTGGAAGGTACCATGACCTTCACCCTGATCGGTAAACAGTTATTAATTCATGCAACTGGACACTTGTGGTTTAGTTATATCATTTGTACAATGTCAACTTCAAAGGAAGGCCACTGTATGTGGATCTTGCTGCAGTGGAATATTGGTCTGAATTGTCACATGTACAATGACTGGCAACTACAGCAATTAGAGTATGACACAAATATATCCTACCAATACTTTACATGCCAGAAGATAACACTGTCTTAATCATAGATAGTAAGATATATCATACTGATATATTGAGCTGTGTCATATCTCGGATATTGGACAGGTAGGATGTATCTGTCATGTCATGTCACAGATATTGTTCTGTGTCATATCACATATATTGTACTGGTGGGATATGTCAGTATTATGACACATCACAGATATTGTACCAGTAGAAATTCAACCCATACATGTTTCGATCTTACCGTTGATATGCGATTCATATGTTTCGTGGAATGTTTTCGAAATGAGTTCACAGTTAATGGTAAGTTACAAACCTGGTGTTTGTCACAAGACAGGGTTGTCATGGAAATGATGTCTGGAACAAATGTGTGTGTTCTTTCGTGTCCTCTGTTTTCCAGCATCGGGGCTGTTGATGTATACACTATTTATTTGTCGGTTAGTATGAGTGATGCATAGTCAGGCCTATTTATTGATCTCATTCTGCAGCTATCATCCTAGTTTTGAATGTGTCACTGTATATGTTTGCATGGTGCTTCTGTCAGTGACAGTGTGAATGTTATCATAAGACCCTGCTAGATGTCTTTAATGAAAATAATTATATTGTCATAAAACATTATTATCTATTTCCAAATACATACATAACATATACATTTTATAAGTATAGCAATACATGATACTATTATTATTTTACCAGTAACAGTGGTATGAGATTTTATTCAGATATTTTACAATAAGATGGAATTTCAGTCAATGCATATTTATTTGTTAAATCATATTTTAACCATATGAATATATACTGGTATTTCTTTTTAGCACACTGCTGTCACTCTGTATAGAGTTTGTTATTGTATATTAAAGGTATGACTGGGGGTCTATATCTTTTAACTCTAGCAATGTGCACGGGTTTACCTTTTGCCACACTGATTGCAAAACTGACTTTAGTTGTCATGGTTACCTTTACTCATACGGACAAGTATCAGAAGGGAGATAACTCATGAAACCGTGCCTCATCTTCGTCAGAACAATAGAAATCACTATGTTCAGTATATATCAGTTAGTCATATATTGGGAGACTTGTGTGCTTTCCTAAATAACCTGTTCTGTCAAATGTTTGGAATGTAAGCATTCAGTAAATTAAGCCCAGACTGATTTTAAACTATTTTTTATGTGTAAATCTGCCATATTTCACATTATATAAATATTTTCAAATTATGGATATTTTGAACATATTCGTATTTTGTAACAGGTTCTTTTCACTTAGTATTTTTGAGAAAAATATATCAAGTCCATTGTTTTAATTACCTGATACAGTCTTTAAAATAAACATAAAATTAGACCTGATGATACACATTGTCTGATGCTGGAGACTTTGGGTGATTATGTGATTACCTTCATTTTGTTGTGTGCGACAGGGAAGAGTGACTGGTACATTGTGAGGAGAGGAATGACTGCTCTGTCTATCACTATATCTTCCAGGTATGTCATGGCCAATCTACACTCTGTAATAAACATTTACTTATCTATATACATCTTGTGTTTGTTTTGGAATTGTCAGAGACAGATGCTCTTTCAGAGGTTTGTCCTGACATGCATTGCTTCGATCACTGATTACAGATAATCCCAGTTATGGGAGAAATCATTGATGAAAGTCATAGTTCAAATTTCAACATTTTTTGTTGAAAAAATTATTTTAAGATGTGGAGACCTCTTTGGATGAACACTGTATAGCAGTGTTTTCTCATGGGTTTTTAAACTGTGGTTGAGAAACCAATTTGCGATAAACTAGTATGAAACGTGTGAGATCTAATTCCTACTCTGTGAAGGGCTATACTTTGTGTGATGACCATGGGACTATTCATGACAGACAACTTACCTGATAGGTTTCTTGTGATTCAGTTTAATTCACCTGTAAGTGCCCAAACTTTTCGCGACAATAATTGTTCTTCTAGTGTGCATTATCAACATTACCACCTGAATAATCCACAGATATTGCGGAAACTTTTTGTGCAGGGTCACACTAGGTAAACAATAGGCAGGATGATCTTGTGTTATATATAAATGCACCACAGTGATCATGAAAGTAGATAAAAATATTCTTTAATTAATGATAAATTATGGTACCATGTTAGGGTGTGTAAGAATCAGATTACTGCACATGTGCCTGTCAGATACCATACCCCTTACAACTCAAAATGTGTCTAGCTTGCTTTTACCTGCTTGACACCTTTTGATAGATAATCAAACAGAGCGCAGATGGATATAAAAATATTTATTTTCAAGTGTCTGTTTACATTTCAATTAATTTGAATGGAACTTTGAAAAGTATCTTCCTCTACAAAGACAGGTTCGTATAATCAGATATACCAATGGTCACACATGCTTTCATCACATTATATTTCAGTATAATGCACATGATGTAGACCCTGTAACACACTCATGAAAACAGCAACCAGTAATTCTTCAATATGAATCTAACGACAGAAAAAATTTAAACTTACAACATTTTGCTTCTTTGAGTGTCATTTTGGAAGTTGGGGATTACAATACTGACAAATGTTATGGATAACACACTCACAAAAGAAAGAAATTGTTATCCATAAAATTTGTCTATATTGAACAACATTTTGGTTGCACACTTACACTTCAATGTGTTTGGTACAAACAACCATATTGTTTTATATAAGCACATGAACCTATTCCAATTGTTATCTGCATAAATTTCATTGTGCTAAATATCTTGAACAGTCTATTTCATAAGGCCTGACTAATTCCTTTTCTTGGACAAAGGATCTGTCAATCTGGTTTTGGAATATTACAAAAATATGAAAAAAAAAGAAAAAGATTTTGGTCATAATACGAAGACGAAAAGTAAATCATCAGTTGATTTGTAAATGGAAGGGAGGCAACTCTTCTGCAGTTCAGATATGTAAGTAGTTTTAGTGGATTACTGCTGTTCTCTGCCAGTCAAATCACTTCACTTAATTTGCATAATTGAAAATGAATCCTAAAATAGAACTTAAAATATATTGTTACCATAATAGATGCCAGAACACAGTACTGTTTATCACAATTTACAGTGCTAGAGCCAGACATAAGCATGAGTTTTGTTACCGTAATAAACAGATAAATGATGGAAATATGTCGTCACTTCTACATCCTACAGGCAGGCTTAACGCTAGACCTTAGCAAACAGATTTAGGACAAGACACTTCTATGTAAAAAATGATCATGCATTCATAGCACCAGCAAATAAAAACTTCAAATAAAATAATCACTGTTGACCATGACACTCTTTAACAAGTTTCAGAAATAGAGATACATGTCACCTGGTATCCAGAACACATCATGTGCTCAAAGAATGCACAACCATAAGGGGGTATCACCAGTCACCTACATGCACACGGTATACACACAGTTCAACCACAAAATACTGTCTTACTGACAACTTTTTCTGTAGTATGAAATAAGATGGTTCAGTTTCCAATCCTTGATCCCTTGTAACAACCTGATATGGCACAGGGCTATTTGTACACCTCAGATTTAATACACTGTCCTTTGATTCCCATCACAATATCACCATGAACATCTCCAAGTGTTTACCTTTGTCACTGAGAATACGCTGTCACATATTTTGTATTGCAAGCTTAGATCCAGCTGAATAGGGTGACTATAAATTCTGATGTGGTAACTCTGTGTACATCCCGTCACATCACCTGTAGCACTACATGAGTACCAAATTGATTAAGATCTCTGATATGTTTACCTCTGCCTTAAATATCAGACACCCCCACCATGGGTGATTGCCTTAGAGGAATGTGTTAACCAGCCAATCAACATTCTAAGTGCGTGGAATGACTGAGCAAAGCATTCAGACCCAGACATCAAATTTCAGTATTTCCAAAACAATCATGAATGTGCTATTATGTTGTAGTGGCTACACATTGCTGTTTCCGATCACCATACATCTACACCCAAGGAAGAGTACCATTAAAGTAAAGAAATTTAGCAGAATCTTTTACAAACCTAACATCGGAAAGCTAACATCTGAAAGCCACACATCCTTCATTTGTATTGGGTGATAATATTTCACTCAGGGATCATTTGACGTAATCTCCGATGGAGACTTTATGAGACCTTATCACAGAAAAGTATTCCATCGAACTAAATATCTGATTGAAATAAATTGACCTACTTCGTTGACTCATGGTCCACAGACCTAATAAATCTCACACTACACAACCCCCTTCCAACTGGTGCAGGGGATGAATAAAATAACAAAAACTTGCATCTGAAAAACACTTGTCTTGTGTCATTATTTGGTCCCTCTCTACAGCAACCTTTGATCCACACAGCTACACATGCAGATGCAAACTTAACAAACTACTAGCCAAAAGCACTATCATTCAGTCAAATGTCATTCTGACAAAGACAGCCACTATTGCACAGCCCCAAGCTAAATGCTGTCAATCTGACTCCTCAACACAACCATAGGACAGTCCAGTGGTCATCAGTGAACTTGTGAAGGAGTTTGTCCCCACAACTGGTCACATATCCAAGGACTGCAGTCTTATGGGTCAGAATATTGGTTCTGTGGTAGGAATCAGGGCTCCTCACACCCCTATCAGTCTTCGAGCTCGGAACACCACGGTGCTGCAGACCAATACCCAGCAGGCTATGCCAACCCCGCCTGGAAACAAATAACAGAATACCTGCACTCAAAGTTTCCTTAGAATAATTTCATTGTTGATTTCAAGCTTTGAACAATGGAAGAAGTTGGGTTTAACACTTATTTGAATAATATTCTGGTGTGCCAAAGGGAGGTGACTCTGCACAGGGAATTGTGGCAGCATGGACAACTGCACCACTGGTGTCCCTCTGAACAATAGAGGGGTAGAAATGACATCTTCACTGAAAAGAATCATCTTGGCAAAATGGTCCTTAATCTTCCTTTAAAGGGGAAACAAAGCTTTACTGTCTAGTAAAAGAATTCATGAATGATGGATGTACAACAGACAACAACTCAAGACAAACACTATAATTTTTAGTATAACTAAGAGAATCAGCGAGAATCAAACCTGGAATTCCTGTAGGGAAGGCGACAATTCGACTGAAGGGGAAGAAATATGAGGATGGCAGCTCTAGTAAAGGCTCATTTCGGTACGTCAAGACCAGACTTAACATTGTCAGAGCCTGAAACATACATATAGCACTCCCTGAAACATTTATATGCACGAACAATACTGCCAATGGTCCGAACATGCTAAGAGACAAGGATAGTACTCACTAACACATATATATTATTTCGTACAATATTCAGACTGTGACAGATAATTTCAGGCATATTTAAAGAGTCTTATTTAAAATGTGACAGAAACATGACACAGTATATCAAATCAGATAACTGATACGATAGAAAAAGAAATCTACTTGATTATATGACAAGGTCTGTGGATATTGGCTCTTGGACATGTGTGAAACAGTGCATAAATATTCAACATGTATATATATCAGCAGCTGATATTATGTCCATCAGTTAATATGGCATAATTGATGCATAAATATTCAACATGCATATATATATCAGCAGCTGACAAAAATGTACATTAGCCCATAATCAATTGCATGAATTGTTTACTCACATGAACAACATGGATGGCCATCTTGATGCCCACTTTCAACATGGTCAAACGCTGGGATCTTGAGCTTCCTGAATTAGAAGATGGCAGGATAATGTTATCACTTATCAAGAGCCTAGTGTCCATCAGTTAATATGGTATAATGGATGCATTAATATTGTAAACAATATTGCTTTCAGATCAGCATATGTTTAACATGATAATCATGATAATGATATAACATGGATAAATAACATAACTTAGTTAAATTTTCATTTATCAAATATTACATAAGTTATATGTGTATGGTAAAAATATATGAAAGGTACAACCACACTTTACATGTCTTATTCATCTTCACATATTTCTGTAATATTGATCTACCTAGTTGCTTAAGCTGCCCCATGATCTTGTCAATTTTGCGTTGTATCTTCATGTAACGTGCAAACTCGTCAGCCATATTCACAGACTCCTGGTCCGACTTGAGGTCCCTGACTTGTGACCTGAGATCTAGTTCCTCATTGCTCAGTCTAAACACCTTTTTCCCAATCTACAACAAAACATAAACAGATTGTGACAGGAAAAAAGTATAAACATGTACAACATAATCTAAGAACAAGCTGTAAAGATAATAATGCTGAAACATTATCTTCTTCATGATGTTACACACAGCAAGTGGTTGCATAATGGCTCCCCATGTCAACCACAAACAACTAAAACTGGGTTTCGTAAAAGTGTAATGTGCCAATACCTTTTAGTTTTCATTTTAACATACCCAAAACAAAAAATCTTTTACGATCTTTATCCATTTATTTTGGGAATGTGATGTTACTAAGAACTTTGGGGATAAAGTTTTGAAATGGATAGACCAGTGTGGTCGTGTATGCAATATGAAGCTAAGTGCTAGATGTATACTATGTGTAGTTCATGAAAACATAATAACAGACAAGGTTTTTTATTTCATTTTGCTTTTTCAAGAATTTTTGCATTTACAAATGCAAATTTCAAAACTTATTTTAGTAGATTTGTACAGGAAATGAACATGAGATACAATATAGAAAAGGACATAGCTTTTAGAAACAGTGATCAACATAAGTTCTAACAGGCTTGAATGTTGTATCATGTACTTTTGCATCATTGAGCAATAATCAAGATCATTAAATATATATTTAACATGTGATATCTGAGGCCAGCTGATTCCTATCGAAGTTGTGTGTAAATGTAGGTGTGTAAGTATGTGAATGAGTGTTTGTCCTAATTGAAAAACCTTCTTCCTCTGTACATCCTTTAAACACCCATGTAAACACAATATTAAATGAACTTCATGCTGTGGAACTCACATTACTCTGGGTGTGAGCTAACCCATATGCAACAGGAAGGGTGAAATAAAATATGTACAACCAAAAAAGCATCATATTTTTCTATATTATATTTTGAAACACTGCAAACCAGTTTCGGCTTCACAGGGTTGATTCCAGGTCCATGTTAATAATGAAATCACTTGCTATTTCTCTATCTCACAATGAAATATGTATCACACTACATGTGACTACAGTAAATATAATAATGATTAATGACACACACTACATACTTCATTGTGATAGGAATTGTTTTAACTCGAGCGTGTGTGCAAACGATAATTTCTACTTCAGTCTTCCACTTTAGCCATGTCATCATGACTGACTTCTGAGTCCAAGATCCGCGGACATCACCAACCCAGGTCCAATCATCAGCTACGACGTTGTGGACCTATTCACCAATGTACCACGGGATGAAGCCCTTCAAGCACTACGTCACAGCCTCTCAACACCAGCCTCTCTACCGACTCTATCATCAGCCTCACCTCCGCCTGCATCAACTCCACCTACTTCACCTGGGGCGATGCCATCTATGAGCAAATCCACGGACTTCCCATGGGCTCCCCACTATCCCCCATCCTAACAGAAATTTACATGGCCGACCTCGAAGAGAAGGCCCTAGAAACTGCACCCTTCAAACCGCCCTGCTGGTACCAAGTAAAGTGGATGACACCTTCGCCGCCCTCCAACCTCAGCAAGATCCAAAGCAGCTCCTCGCCCATCTCAACAGCCAACATCCCCCCCGCATCAAATTCACCATTGAAACAGAGCAGAACAACCAACTACCTTTCCTTGATGTCCTTGTGTCCCGCGACCTCCTGCAACCAACTCCAGACCTCCGTGTACAGAAAACCAACTCATACGGATCAATACATCCACTACAACTCCAACCACCCACCTAAAGTCAAGACGGCGCCATCTCTACATTGACCAGAAGAGCCAAAAACATCTGCTCAACAAACCTACAGGAAGAAATTGAACACCTGAGGAAAGTCTTTGTGGAACGCAACCACTACCCACCTGAAATAGTCAACAGAACCATCGGCAACGCTTTCACCTCCTGCCAAAAGGTCTAAACCAGAATCAGCCCCCATCAAGATATCCATTCCCTACATTGGTAAACCATCACACCAAATCAGCCGACTCCTGAAACAACAGGCAGGAATAGACACTACCTTCTCAGCGCCCTCCAGCCTCAACAACCTCCTCCATGCCAACGGAGAAAACAACCCACCACAACAACAACAACCCGAAATGTGTTATTTACAAAATAGACTGTGATTGTGGACAATGCTACATAGGTGAAACATCCCACCCATCAACACCCGAAGTCAAAGAACATCGCGCACCTCGGTTGCTAATTCCGACACCAAATCAGCTATCTCTGACCACATCAAAGCCAACCCCAATCATCAAATAGAGTGGTCCGACATCACCATTCTCGCCAACAACCAAACGGACTTCACTAAACGCAAGCTCACAGAAGCCATTCACATCAAACGCCACAAGCCTACTACATCAACCGCGTGACCAAGGATACTTCATTCCATCTGCTTATGATCCACTCCTCCACCAAGCCCAGTCTATTGTATAAACATCGCATCCAGTGTATAAACATCTCATTGTAACTACATCTCTGGCTTCCACTCACTATCCTTTATGTACTTACTGGCTTCATCAGCTTACTGCTTAGCCAATCATGGCAATTATGTTGTTTCCTTTGTCTATTATGTTGTTTCATTGTTATATACAGTATATATATGCAGCTCCTACACTTCATGTATCACTCTTGCTTGACAACGGTACAAGAATCTGTATCGAAACGTCGCACTCACCAAAATAAAGAAGTTGTTATCCATAAAACTTGTTATATATTGTACGTCTCAACTTCTAAAATGCCACTCAAACAAGTTAAGAACAAGCTGTAAAGATAATAATGCTGAAACATTATCTTCTTCATGATGTTACACACAGCAAGTGGTTGCATAATGGCTCCCCATGTCAACAACAAACAACTAAAACTGGGTTTCGTAAAAGTGTAATGTGCCAATACCTTTTAGTTTTCATTTTAACATACCCGAAACAAAACATCTTTTACGATCTTTATCCATTTATTTTGGGAATGTGATGTTACTAAGAACTTTGGTGATAAAGTTTTGAAATGGATAGACCAGTGTGGTCATGTATGCAATATGAAGCTAAGTGCTAGATGTATACTATGTGGAGTTCATGAAAACATAATAACAGACAAGGTTTTTTATTTCATTTTGCTTTTCGCAATTTTTTGCATTTACAAATGCAAATTTCAAAACTTATTTTAGTAGATTTGTAAAGGAAATGAACATGAGATACAATATAGAAAAGGACATAGCTTTTAGAAACAGTGATCAACATAAGTTCTAACAGGCTTGAATGTTGTATCATGTACTTTTTGCATCATTGAGCAATAATCAAGATCATTAAATATATATTTAACATGTGATACGAGGCCAGCAGATTCCTATCGAGTTGTGTGTAAATGTAGGTGTGTAAGTATGTGAATGAGTGTTTGTCCTAATTGAAAAAACCTTCTTCCTCTGTACATCCTTTAAACACCCATGTAAACACAATATGAAATGAACTTCATGCTGTGGAACTCACATTACTCTGGGTGTGAGCTATCCCATATGCAATAGGGAAGGGTGAAATAAAATATGTACAACCAAAAAAAGCATCATATTTTTCTATATTATATTTTGAAACACTGCAAACCAGTTTCGGCTTCACAGGGTTAATTCAAGGTCCATGTTAATAATGAAATCACTTGCTATTTCTCTATCTCACAATGAAATATGTATCACACTACATGTGACTACAGTAAATATAATAATGATTAATGACACATCAGCTACATACTTCATTGTGATAGGAATTGTTTTAACTCGAGCGTGTGTGCAAACGATAATTACTACTTCAGTCTTCCACTTTAGCCATGTCATCATGAAGTGAAAGAAGGCAAACATCTGTTGAGTTGATTGAAAACGTTTCAGCTCAGACTTAGCCGAGAGCCGCGATGCGGTCCTACACAGTCAAGGCTAGCTCAGACTCAGAGTCAGAGTTCATACCCGGGGTGTTTCATCGTGCCACAAAGAGGAGCAAGCAAAATGAGATCTTAGTTGTTTGATACAAAATGTACCCATAGTAGAATAACTCGTCTCTGTAATACATTTTCACGAATAATATACAGTCTGGCTGAGTCTGTGGTTGTTTTTATCTTCTTCTAGTCTTCATGAACGAAAAGTGAACAAATGGATCGTGTGACTTGTTGAGACAGTAACTGTTGAGTAGGAAGTGTCTCCTCAAATAACACTTTTAAAGAACATAACATTCACAGATGGTTCCAGAAACAACTTACCAAACCTGCAACAAGATGTGAATATTTCGGCAAAATAGAAAACAGAACCACAAAGAGAAAGATCAGGAGCATTAAAAGCATCTTGTTGTCAGTCAGAACTTTCCTCGCCAAATGTAGCAACCGTATGTTCCCGAGCTTTTCCGACTGTCCCGCGGACGCAACAACTCTTGTACATACAGCTGTGCAGACCGTTATAAAATTCTGGAGAAACATCTTACCAAGCGTGGCATTCGGTTTCACCGGGTAGAAATATATAGTCACGTAATCCTCAATTAAATTGATCTATGCGTGCATTCCTGTCATTCCGATACATTGAAATTGTTAGACAATATTCCCATAATGTTTGTTGTCATTACATATTTGGGTTGTGTTGATTAACAGATTGATTAATAGAATGCATGAAGTTTGAATTACACACACGTTAACGTGGGTTTATAATGAAATCTGTAAAATATACTTTGACTGACATTTGGGCCAAAAATAGACTTGCCCAAGTCTCTCCGGTACTAATTAATAGTTTAAATGTAAATTTCTGAAAAAATACAAATAACAGACTGAAATGTCCGCTTATCTAGATTTGCCTCTTTTAAGGATAGATTGATTTGCATCCATGGTCTCAGCATTCAGTACAGCCTTGAAGCCAGGCTAGGCCAAACCCTGTGGTCCATAGTGTCCAAATCAGTGTTATGCTTGACCCAGTGTTATGTCTTTGTTATTAGTCGTTATATTTGAATGCAAAATTGCTACTGCTACAAACTCGCACTGCATGTCCGCCCAGGGCCCCTTTTACATTCGCCACCACCAGTAAAAAAGCGTATTTATCACACATCATCCGAATCCAAGAGTATTGGAGTTATTTCACGAATTCATATAACCATATTATACCCATACCATATTCTCGTGTTCAAGAAGAGGTGTGAATTCTATGATGTACAGTGGGTCTTTAAAACAACAACAAACAACAACCACATTGATGTCCAAGATATTTTTTATGGATTAAACTTCTTTTTAAATTTCTCTCACAACGTTTCGAGACCATTCCAGGTCCCTTCATCAGGTGAACTGTCAGTTAGGACTATGACGTCGTCACTATGACGTCATTACTGAGTTATGACGTCACAATGCAAGTGACATCACAGTACACTAGGGAGAGTACTGTGTAAGTGAGTTAGTTACATAATGATGAAATTCATGCTAAATAATAGAGTTGAAAGTTGAATTGTCAATACACAACAACTGCTAATTACACAAAGGTTACTTGATAGCAGGCTTTCCAAAAAAAATAGTAGACTCGTTTTTTTCTTGTATCTAAAGTTCATCAAAAGGTTACTTGATAGCAGGCTTTCCAAAAAGAATAGTAGACTCGTTTTTTTCTTGTATCTAAAGTTGTCAGGAAAATAATGCATGGCCGTTTCTGTTTTGAGAATATATATTGTTACAAGATAAAAATGCATCCCTGACACATTTTATAAATGTAACAAATCCATTATTGAAAACTGCGGTTATTTCGTGATGGTGTCGATGCTATCGTTGCTTTTGAATAAATCAGGGTCAGACAAGGCTCAGATACTTTACAACCATACCGTCAACACCAGCAAAGTGGCGCGGGGTTCAAAGGCTTAAGCCAGCAGAACCACCAAAACTCAGTAGTCCTCGTTCCTCATCCTCCGGGTAGAGCCTTTCCCGTCCGAGTCACTTTGTAACGAAGAGAGAGAGGCACAATAAAAGTTATGTGAGTACAATTTCTGTGTTGAGTTATTCACTGAATGGATGTGTGCATGAATGATGTGTTGACAGTTATGGGGCAGGTGTCATCCGACCCCTCACTCCTTGTGGTAGCGGCCTTAACATTGGCAGGCTAAAGTACTGTCGGAAATAGAAAAAAACTGTTTTTAGGCTGTTACTCTGTATCCCTAAAATTTACACAATTGCAAATAGCATATGTCGAAATAACCCACTTCGGCCTAACTTGGCGTTCAGTGGGATGCGTAATACGATATCCAGGAAAGCATGTTTACTCGTAAAATCGGGCAAAACTTAGAAAAAATACGAATAGCTGCTGAAAACAATAGATCAGACTATAGATGGCAATTAGGTCGCTCAGCCAGGCACGACGACGGACCGTCGACTCACCTGGCATGAAATGCACGTGCTGCCTACAGGCACAAGGGGTCATCTCAAAAATATTTTGTGCTTTTTCATTGTGTTGACTGTGTCTCATCTATTGATTAACATCTTACGTGTCTTTCTTTCATATAGTTTCATATACAGAGATATGTAAAAGAGTATGATACCCGAAAACCATAGAAACGCATCGTAGTATATAGGACAGGACTGGATATTATTTGTAAATTGTTATGACGTGCCGTGTATCTCCCCAGTATAATTGCCCTAAAGGATTATCTTATCTTAGCTGATATCTCTATCCCCAAGCCCGACCCCAGGTTTTGCTTTTGAGACGGCCCCTCCTATCTGTTTCTTTTTATAGTGACAGTGAGACTGCATGGCAGCTACATCTTAATAGTTTCGGCATAAAAGTTATTATTTTTTACGTCAGCTATCGTTTATAATGAATCTACGTCTAATTTCAAATTGGGCATTTAAAAAGCGCCCTTTGTAATACAATATCGTCGCACACTAATTTGCATAAAGCCATGGTCTGTTCCAAATAAGTCTGTTTGCATTGCTCATTTCTGCACTAATTTCCCCTCAGTAAAGTCCTTTTTCTCTACCACCGAGACTGTAGTTAGGCCGAACTTAGTTTAACAGATATTTCACACTTTCACATATCAACTACATAAATTGTAGAGATAAATGAGAAAATACAGTTTTTTTCTATTTCCGACAGTACTATAGTGTCCTAACGTCAATCCGGAGTCACAGAACGGCAATAAGTTTGGGAACTGTCGCGGGGGTCCAGGTATCCCAACTCCCAGGTATGGTGTTGGAGGGAGATGTACCCCAAAGCGCAGTTACGACGCCTTGTTGTTAGCACTTTCAATGCCTCTAACCACTGAAGGTTACATCACAGTTTCGTCCACGATACATCCAAACGTAACCAGGCTGAAAACAGTCACCAACATACTGCAATTTTAAGGCTCAAAACATATAAATCTTTTTACATTTTCAACCACCATTACTCGTAGGGGATGGGGGTGTACTTTCGTTTGCCCAGTAGTTTTATTTTTTCATTTAATTTTTTTTTGTAGCCTTTAAATACAACGTATTACGACTTCAAAGAAAGGTTAAAACCAGTTTACTCTTGCACCTTAACGCTAGATCAATACGAATGGTGTGCTGTGGGAGCGCCAGGTGAAAGCGTCCTTGATGACATCCTGCTTCGTCAGTTGTGGATGTCGTGACGCGAGGACGTAGCAAGGCATGAAACCAGCCCTCGGATCAGATATCACACGATATCAATCAAACGGCTTATCAAACATTCAACGACCCACCGCCATGCTGCAACAGCATTCACCGACTCGATTTAAGTCATTCTGTATTTATATCCATCGAAATTAGGCTGCGCCCCACTAAACGACCGTGCATTGGTAACGTGATGAAACCATTCCAGAGCACCTGTTGGCTGTCTTAGGACACCTCAGAGGCGGATCTGGGTTGAACGGGTGCCACCTATATATGCATCATACTAGTCATGTTGATGTTTCAGAAAGGTGTAACTAAACCGATATACCATGCCACAGCGTAACATTGATCCACATTCAGACAGCAAATATCAGAACAGTCTCCGAACCGACCTGTCCATGTTTCACCCCTCCATATGGATCGCTAGACAGGGTAACTAGTGCCATCGTTTAATATCAGAGCAGTCTCCGAACCAACCTGTCCATGTTTCACCCCTCCATATATGGATCGCTAGACCGGGTAACTAGTGCCATCGTTTAACGTCTTTCGAAATGACGCCGACGTGGCAGACAAAACAAATAGTTTACTGATGACAATCTTAAAGAGTTTGTAGTAACAAGAGAACTGATGTGACGTCTTATGTCACATACATGTATTGCACATGCTGTCCTGATGTTTTACATCAGATGTTAATGCTTATGGGAGCCCTTGGGTATCTCCAACACCGCATGCTGAATGTTGCTGCCTGAATGTCGTATGAAGCGACTGAAAGGAGGTTTCGGCTGATGGCTTGGTTGTGTGACATCATACGAGTCACGTACCACGATGGCTTGGTCAGTTGTTCATGATATCAATCACTGGATTTTCTGGCCAAGACTCGATCATTTACAGTTCGCTGTGATAATGCTGGAACACATCATGCTAAGAGCATGTAAATGACACTAAGCCCTTGAAAGTAGAAAACATTCATAATAAAGTAAATGGTTGTATTCATCGTGGAGCATGCCAAGAATGTTGCTTGAATGTATTCAAGCCAATATTAACAAGTTTTAGTTGAGGCGTTTCATGGGAGAATAATAAAGTTAAGGAATTCATGTTTGTAATATTTAATCACAATGCCATAAAAACAAAACAACATTTCATACACATATACACACAAGCAGAGTTAATCACAGAAAAGAGTTTCACTGTTGCTGGTGAAGAACACGTAGATAACTGATCCTCAGTTTAGAACCAAGTGATAATATCCAAAAACAACAGTTTGTTATACAGCGTACACCTCAAGTCAACATTGCCTGGGGGGAGCTAACGAAACAGGTAACTCATTCACCTAAATATTTCATAGACTAAGTTAGTAGAAACGGACCAGTGGACCATTACCATGATAACATCAGCAAAGTTAAAGGACTTGCACAATGCTTCATATAAAATTACTTACTTATACATCCTGTTTTATGTGTAACTGGGACAGCCACGGGCTATGAATCATAAATGGTATCCACAGATATTACATTCGGTGTGCTGCCAGGCTACTGATACTTCCAGCGGGCGGAGCTCAATGCACAATCTGGTGAAACAGTAGGTAACAATATATGATACAAAGAAGTAAAGAAGCAGATGAATGGGTAGTAAAATAACTATAACAATGGAATAATATATATAGGAAGTTAAAGTTATCTGTGCATAATTTCATTTTCAACGTGTATATGTCTGTATATATGTATATATATTAAGATGTGTATGTACATCACTCACAATAAACCATGCCACCAAGTTGCAACACGCGCAATTAACAAACAAACCATACTGGAAGGATATAAGGAATATAATATACATTTCACCGTCTCCATTGTTGTATTAGTGATACAATACTGTTGTCCTAATGCTGATAGGTATTTGGCCAAGGGCTAGAAGATATCACAATCACAATAACAGCTTGGCAATAACTATACCTTTTTCTTAGCCTTCTTAACCAGAAGTTCTGTTATTGATCTGCCATACAGGAAGGAGGTGACTGCATCTCCCGACATGAATTAAAAAAAGGCTAACTTGACATGACTGTACAGAAGTTTCTTAATAGTTAAATAGTTTGGCCAATGTCTCAAGTCAACACCCATTCTCCTATTTATCACAGATAGTTTAATAATAGAAATTCCTGCATTATTTTCGGCAGAGGTAGTTTTGCAACTTTCCTCATAAGGTGAAGATGACATTTCGAAGCCAGTAGAGTGCGTCTTATAACGAGACACGTTTGTATTTTTAGCGACCTTGGGGAGCTAGCCAGTTCCTTGAGAATGCCAACCACTTCCGGGTGCTCTTTGAGAAGGGGTAGTTTCTCCCTCCGACACTTGATGATGAGACTGTGGTAGCAAAAGGCTCCTGCTTCTATCAACATATCGAGTATTCGTCTGTCAGTACACACCTGAAACGCTGTGGATATAGGCGTGTGGCCGTTGTAGCCGATGCGATTGGGGTCGGCGCCGTTGAGTAACAAAAGGCGCACTGTGTCATAGCATGCCGATTTTACCGCTAATATAAGAGGAGACGACCCCCTCAACTGCACTGCATCAATGATAGCTCCATGACGTATCAGCAACGACGCGATGCGTACGTTCCCGTGTAAGGCGGCCACGTGCAGCGGACGTAACATTGTCACGTCAGCTAAGTTCACGTCACAGCACTCAGCCGTAGCCATAGCTTTGGCCATATCGTAGTTGTTTAGGTCAACGGCATGCCATAATGCTGTACAACCGCGATCATCTTGGATATTGACGTCAAAACCTCCCTGTATCAACAACTTTACCATGTCTAAGTCTCCTTTTACAATACATGGGTACATTGACATCAACTTTAATTTATCCTTCTTCCGATATTCTCGAAGCTTGTAGCTGAATTCGTCTATATCAACAATGTACTTCATATTAACGTCACTCCCACGCGACAAAAGGTGACGTATAACATCCCTCTGGTTGTTGGAGACGGCGGCGTCCAGTAACGTCATGCCCAGCCTGCTGACGGTCGTCGTGTTCCTGAATGCATGATTAACACTGAGCCCACGACTCAGATAACCCCTGAGCGAGGCCACATTGCCAGTCGCAATGGCGTCGTATAGGTCGTCTTCAAAATAATACATCACGAATCTCCAAACTTCACTACTTGGATATGAATATAGTTTCCATAATTAGAGTCCAAGATATCATTTGAAAACGAATTTTGACACGAGGGTTCATCGATTCACAACAATCCATGAATGCTTAGAAAATAGTCATCTCCATTCCAAAGTCCAGTTTCTGGAATGACACAGCGCATTTTACGAACAGAACATATCCTCAGTCATGATATCATGATAACCGACCTGGCTCCTGCAGTACAAACCACTCTTAAGTCGTCGCTCTCGCGTTGACATTCCAGCCCTCACACCGCATACTGCCTGCACAAGCAGCTGTCCTGAGCACGGCAATACGGAACTGACCTGTGACTGTCGATAATACTGCAATATGTCTTACTGGACTGACAGCTCCAAAATCTGACCATGTCGATCCACTTTAACAGTCCTGTATAATGATCTTGCTGAATGATGAAGTGTAGTCAGGTGTATGTATTATTTAAGTGCCGAGGTCGCGGCGTCACGGTCGCCTAGCACAATGCAGGCGGTGTATACCCAGATATTAGACCATTGATATTTGATCTGCTTAAACTGGTTTATAGGTTGGTACGTGTACATCAGTGAGTATCAGGAATAAAAGCCAAAATCAAGAGCATACATCCACCATACTTGGCAACAAAAAATGCAAACAAAGATTACACATTTGTTTCAAATATTGTCTGTTAATAAACCCTCCATTGATTTATACGAACTTGCATTTAGTCAGGATATCTCCAGTTCCTTTCATTGTCTTATCTTATCTAATGAGCCTTACATCTAGACGCTACTTTAAGTATTATTGTTTTTGGACAGCTCATGTAGCGTGCGATAACACATAAAGTATATCGTAAAAATAGACATTATACAAAATGTAGTTAAAAAGGCATTTCAAGACGGATAGAGCATTCAACGATAAAAATACATTCATATCCTTTTTATCCAAAAATAGAAGATCAGGTTTGTATGGTTGTATACGCCTGAGACTGTATGTGGGCGTATTCCAAAGAATTTGTAAATGGTCATGCACTTTCCATGACGCCCTCTACATATTCTGTTGTGGTGTACTCGGTGTCAAAGACCCCAGCGTGGGTTGACGGTAATAAAAGAACCGAGCAACGCTATCATGTCGCTTATAGTTTGTCTTTGCCATTGCTGGGCATCCACTAATAAGGTGGCGGGCAATTTCATTATATTCATTACACAATCGACGGTTCATGCACGGTTACATTTTGACGTAAGCTCACACACTGACGGTTACGAGTGGGAAGTGACTGATCCTGGTCAGCAAACAGGAAGCCTTATGTTTCACCTTTCAGGTCTGTTGTCTTCATCCAAGCGAACGAACCAGCATGTTGGTGTCCTCCACACACTGCACGTAGTCTGATTTGATATGGCACTTCGATCGCCTGTTTGACACTCATTTCTGTAATGTCCACTAATACAGAACCGTCAACAAAGGAACATTAACGTTGAGAATACATAATGCCATTTAGAAAGTACACAGAAAGTCCGTGTACAAGACGTTGAGATTCTGGTTTTTCTAAGATAGCTGTGGAATTCCTTGTTTTCATCACGAGTTTTGACATACTTCAGAGGGGGGTCATCAGACAGATAAAATGCACAAAAATCTGTCATGAAGAGCCTCCGCGTCAATCAAACCAAGCCCTTCCTTTTGAATTGATAAATATAAACGATCGAGGGAAGTGCGAGGGTGGGGGGCACACTTGTCTGATATGATTCTTCTTGTGAGGGTTATATCTATTCTATTTTGTTTGTCATCAACAATATTCCATACGGCGGCCTGTATGGACCAGACAATCAAGTGCTTGGTATCACATGCAATGATCCATGCCGTTGGGGTACAGAGTCACAAATTCAACTAAGTGATAAAACAAGTCTGATCATGGGATCCAAAAGCTTGGTGCATGCGGATCTGTTGTTTCTTAGTTCATTGAAATGACTGTCGTTGGCCGAATGCTGGCGTCTTTTGATTATGCGATTGATAAATAGATACGCGTTGGTGATTGCACCCTGTAGTACAGCTTAATTCAACCTATGTAAAAGTTTCTGTGATACATTGAGTTTACACAAAGTAAACAACGTCATCAACTGATAGAGTTAGTGAGTAAGTTTAGTTTCATGCCGCAATCAGCAATATTCCAGCTATATGTCGGCGGTCTGTAAATAATCGAGTCTGGACCAGACAATCCAGTGATCAACAGCATGAGCATCGATCTGCGCAATTGGGAACCGATGACATGTGTCAACCAAGTCAGCGAGCCTGACCACCCGATCCCGTTAGTTGCCTTTTACAAGCTTGGGTTAATGAAGATCAATATTCTAACCCGGACCTTCACGGGTCTCAACTGATAGAGAGAAAGATAGGGTATCTTTTGATATATCCACTTTTGCCCATTATTTCTCAATCCTTTTGAACTCCCTTTTGGAAAAATGCACTGATCGTGACCGCCGGCTTCAGCTATGACGCCGTTTGTGGTGTGACGTCATTCCGTCATTAATAGAATGACGTAAACAATGCCTTGAGGATGACGTGTGTGTATAGTGAATAGTTCATGTGTCTGGTAAGCAGAAGATTACAAAAAGGTAAAATGCCATCAAAAACAAATAAGAAAACACATGTCTGAAATATTTGGTTTATGCTCAAATAACTTAATTAAATAAGTCATCATTAAGCTGCTAATGTGATGGTATTTATAGCAGGCCATAATCTTGCATGATTTTAAAGTGTATTATAACTTATAACTATGACTTAAGTCAGAGAGAGTGATATATTTACAAAAAAAAACAATGAAAGTTCACTTGCCAGTCGGGCCAGTATGTAAGGAGATTCACTGGCCCGACTGAATTTTTACTAGCCACGGACTAGTGGACTAGTGGTTATTTCGCACACTGTGTGAGATCAAACGACATCTCCTAGGAGATGTAGTTTTGACAGTAGATTTTCTACAATGCCCCGACATCATCAGTTACATGACTCACAATCCTATGACGTCTAACACCTGATGACATCACAATGCCATGACATCGCTGCACTACAAGTCTAATGGCAGCAACGTGTTCAGAGAAGCGCACTTATTATTGAAAACTAATGAAGAGTGACTTTTTATGATAAATAGAATCTCACCCAGGTGTCTTTTGATATCAAATATATCACCACGAGTTTATAAAGTTACAAATATCCGAGGTTTGTCAAGTGACGTCAAACATTATGACGTTGTTCACGTCACAAGATGACAGATACATCATATACTCTCCCAAAAAGAAACGCATATGGGAATTTCAACTGTATTTTTATGCTTATTTTGAAACATCTTGTAGGCTTTATGAGTCAATGAAATATAGCGAAATTGCACACTGGGAATGCATACTTATCCGTCTTTGGCACCAACTCGAGGAAAGTCAGTTTGAGTGTCACATGGAGACGTGTGGTGGCGCTTAAGTCAATACCTCGTGTGACCACCGTGGGCATCCAGAACTGCACGCCATCGCCTCGGCATCGAACGAATAAGTCTAAGAATCTCGTGTTGCCCAATCGCAGCCCACTCTGCCTGTAGTGCCTGTGCGAGTTGCTGAAGTGTCTGGGGCTGAGGGTTACGGCGTCGCACCCGTCTGTCCAGGGCATCCCACAGATGTTCGATCGGGTTTAAGTCCGGTGATCTTGAGGGCCAGGGGAGCACTTTGATGTTGTGGTTCTGGAGGAAGTCTTTAGTGTGACGTGCTGTGTGTCCTGTTGAAACAACTCCCTCTGGCGATCAATGATTGGAAGGAGGTGTGGGCGTAGGATTTCGTCACAGTACCGTTGAGCTGTCAGGTTGCCCTGGATCATCACCAAATCACTTCTCCTACAGCAGGTGATCGCTCCCCACATCATAACACCGCCCCGGCCGAATCTGTCCACCTGGGGAACGCAAGCGTCGGCGAAACGTTCACGTCGACGTCTGTACATCCGCATTCTTCCATCGCGTTGTTCCAATAGAAATCGTGAATCATCAGTGAACCAGATTCTACGCCAATTCGGTAGGTTCCAGGCCTGAACGTTAAATTGGTGCACCATTGAACTCGATGTCGACGATGTTGTTGTCGAAGCACAGGGCCAAAATAAGGTCTTCTGGCACGTAAACCAGCCTCTCTCAACCTGTTCCTGACGGTCTGTGCAGAAAGCCTCCTCAATGCCGGTATTTGTCGAGCGGTACTGGTCGCCGTAGCTGTTCGATGACGCAGGTGATGTACCCGGATGTAGCGATCCTGCGCCGCAGTGGTCGCTCGAGGTCGCCCACTACGAGGGGCATCTGCTACCGCATTCTGCCGGCGATCTCTCTCCCAGAGGCGTGAAATGGTGCTTTGGTGAACATTCATGCGTCGGGAAACTGCACGTTGAGACTTCAAGCAAACCAATGGCGATATGACGGTTGGCTTCACTTAGACGTGGCATTTTTGCGTTCGTCAACAATATTCCAAATACAGTGAATAATCGACAGACAGCGATCAACCTTTTATACCCATCATTGAGACTATCTGATCCCCAACTTTCACGTGCATTGCATGTGAATTGTGTATTCTGTGACACTACACGCCGAAATTGAAAATCATGCTGTTAAATACGGGTATTTTACGGATGGTGCGTTTTGTTGTGATGTTTCAAAACAGAAACACCATAGGACTCATAAACAGAGCAAAACCTTTTGTAAAATGAATCACGTTTTAATTCATTGCTACATGAAATTGCTATTTTCATGATGCGTTTCTTTTTTGGGAGAGTATGTTTTACTACATGAAATATTGTGTATATTATGGGCTTTCAATTTTGTTTAATCAAATTTAAAACAATATTACTCTGAGAAAATTCGATTAACAATATCCAAATTTCCCCAACTGAAAACTCAAAACCGTTCAGGCACTCTGTATTCGAAAATATAATATAAATCGAAACATTACATAACAATCAGTTGCTGTCTTCATATTTATTGTCATTATCTGCATAAGTAAGCGCTGATGTCAATATCCATCAAAAGACCCTTTTGGTCTTGGCATAGCCGAGAGCAGCGATGCGGTCCTATACAGTCAAGACATGACTCTGCGCTGTTTGTCACAAACTGGCATCAATATATGCAAAACAGGAAATGAGGCATCAAACCTGGTGAGCGGCAGATTTAACCAGAGACCATATAATAGATGGTCTCTGGTTTAACTTACAAGAACTATTTTCCCCAAAGGGTTTAATTGCCAATGTCTGCACATGAAAAATCGAATTCAAAGCGGACCCACTAAAACCAAACGTCTTGTACATATATTTATAATGGCATTCTGATTGTTTGATGCGACCATTCCGACAAATGTTCCAATTCCACGTATGAATGTTTTACCTACTCTCGCCCCAGAAAACCGTCTTCCTCTCACTATGAATAATTGTTACTGTAAACTATTTAACAAATGTCATACATTTCGGTGTTATGTAAAACTAAGAACATAACAAAGGCTTTAAGTACTGGTAGACAAAGTACGACATGTTCTAAACAAGTGTTTAAAAATGGAAACCACGTATTTTCTATTCAAGCACTCCCATGGACTCATTGCACAAACACCGGTAACCGAATGCCTGAAGTTGTTGCATACACTGTCAAGAGTTTGCAGTCTGAGCGGAGTTCTATGAGGGAAAATGTAAAATAGCAACTGCATAACGGAAACATAATATTTAACAGCAATCTAGCCATTTCGATATTTTCAAAACAGTATGTATGCAAGAAACATAATTTAAACAAAACATGTTATCCTGAATTATTTATTATTTTATGTAATGGTATTGGAGAAAACTTAATTCCATATAACTCCATGGATATAGTTCCATATGTCTTTGAAATCCAACTTTTAACAACACACTTGCCGGTGTACCGCAAGCATTGTTCCGACCGCACTGGCTTCATTCGCGAATTTGGTGAAGTTCGGATACACGTTTTGTTGTCAGTCCAAAGTTATACTGCGATCCCTCTCATCGGTCAACAGAATGCCCCCAAAGTCAAAGAAAAAGGTAAGTAATAACGCATTTTAGTTTCTGAATGACAGATTTGCTTCTTCCTTTTCATGTGCGGTTACCCGGTTAGTTCTTGTTTACCGTAATACATGAAATAACTCGTCACGGCGGGAACAATGCCTTTGTCAATAATATTGTTCTGTGCTTTCGTGCTTTTATAGACCCTGACCAATATATAATCTGCAATTGTCTCTGTAGCTATTTGTTGTTGCTTTTTTGTGTGTGTTTTCAACTAGTTATAGATTAAGTGATAACTGACATAACTTTGAAGGAATGGAAGCGAAGGGAAAGTACTGAGTACGGTCATTACATTATATTGACATTAAAAAGAAGTCCCGAAGTCCTCGTCCTATAAAGCGTTTTGTTTCAGATAACAAATTGCAATATGACATTTTCACGATGTTTTTAACTTTCGATCCTGGATCATCGAGATAGTGCATTCTTTAATATCATAACTGAAGTAAAAAATGAAAACTTTGGGACTGATTAGATATTGGACAGTGTCAAAGATAATGAGCATTGATGACCTGATCAGCTGGTAACATTGATGTGTTTTAACAGTGTATTTAATTTATGTTATATTTTTACGAGCATGTGGATATTCTGATATATAGCTTCACATTTATGGTATACTTCAGTTCTTGTTCATGTGAGGTTTGTTAACAGGCTGCCAAGGAAGTGGTTGACGCTGATGCTGCTGCAGCTGAGGTAAGTTGTAGTAAACAGAAACTGGTAATAGATATTTGTTCTTTAATACCTCGTAGAAAAATAGACTTACATAGGGAAACTGGTTTAATTGAGCTAGTTACTTTTAATCATGATATGGCTAGCCAGCCCACATGGCCAGCAACATTTTGAGACCATTTCTTACATGGTATTGGGATATCATATATGTTATGCCAGATGGAGTAGGTTGGGATAAGTCAGTAGTAGAACAGTAGAACAGTTCTTTTCACAAAATGTTTATCACTAAAACATGTTGCAAACTGCATTAGAAACTGAGATGATCCCATTGGTGCAGACAGAGTAAAACAATTACCATCAGTTCTATGACACTTCAAGGGGATCAAACTCCAACCACAGGTCTTCAGACAGACTCTCTATAGACAAGACTGGCGGTCTCTGCCACTAGAGTTACTATGCATGTTCACAGGATTATGTCAGGGCATTTATTACGGTATGTGTTCCTCTTTCATCAGGAGACCGCCTCCACGGTGTAGTGGTTAGAGCGTCCGCCCAGAGAGCGGAAGGTCGTGGGTTCGATCCCCGACTGCGTCATACCAAAAGACGTTAAAATATGGTACTTGTTGGTCCCTGCCTGGCGCTCGGCATTAATGGGTACAACAAGGACTGGTCGGCTCGAAGTCAGTATGTGTCTGAGTGGGATATTCATGCTTCACTGCGGCATGGTATCTCAGTGGGCTAGCACTATAAAACCAGCTTAAGTCTGGGCTAGTACAAGCAGTCACACATACACACACACACACGCATGCATCGTCATATGAGCGTCTCAAGCACGACGTTAAATCTAATTTCACCTCACCTCTATCATCAGGAGCCTCCAGTAAAGAAGACAAAGAAAGGGAAGAAGGATGAGGCCGATGAGGTAAAAGTTCTCATCGATACAAGAAATAATCTATGACATACTAGTATCTATTTTATGAATCATACTGTGCCTAATGTGAGTTTATATGTTGATCAGTTTTCATTTGTTTGTTGTAATGTAATCAAGTAGGGAAATAGAAAAGAAAAAATGTAAATGTGAATTAATAACAGCTTATATGCAATGTAAGGTCCTGTAAAATACCTAAAAGGTATATACAGGGATTTATTCATTATTTCAAACTAAGTGCCCTGGCAATGTTTGGACTAATTGGAGGAAAACTTTGAATGATGTTATTCAAAACTTTAGTGTTTGTGAGAATGCAGAGATACTGTGACATTACTTCCTCATGCTCACTGAAACTGTAAAATTAAGTGTAATATTATTTTATGTCCCATTTCTCTTTATCATGTCTACTGGATTTATCAATTGAATATATGCAAACTAAACTGGTTTCCTTTACAATAACTTAAATTTTCCCACCATTTGCGAGAATGCTAGTTAAGATGATGTTTGTGCCTATAACTAGTATAAGGTTCAGTGTTGTTATTGTCAGGGTGAGGAGGCCACGCCCAAGAAGGGAAAAGGGAAGAAGAAGGACGAGGAGAATGGAGATGGAGACAAGAAAAAGGTGGTAATTCCGACCATGACCTTGGATGAGCAGGACTTCTCCTGCAGTGCAAAGACCAAAGATGGACTTGACTGGAACTTGAAGATATCCTCCTGGAATATCAACGGAATCAGGGCATGGCTTGGGGTAGGTAGCAGGGTTACAAATTGCCACTTCTAAATGCTGTTCAAAGACTTTACTACATGTACATATGTTTATTGGTTGATATCATAAGGTGATACTTGTGCATCTTTCAATCTCATCTGGTTCAATGACAAACATAATATGGTAAAGTTATTGTTATAACAAATTTTGTCAACAGTATTTGATTCTGTTTTTCCCAGAAAGAGGGTACTGCGTATATCGAGAAGGAGGCCCCAGATGTTTTCTGTGTGCAAGAGACAAAGTGCAGCTTGGAGAAGATGCCTGATACAGTGAATGTCGATGGTTACCATGCCTACTGGTCATCAGGGGATACCGAGGGCTATGCTGGGACAGGCATGTATTGCAAGACGAAGCCTATTGAAGTCACATATGGAATTGGTGAGTGAGGGGTTGTCTCCCTTTGTCTGTTGGTTTGCGATATGTGCCATCTCTGTGACAGATCATGTAGACATGTATTACACCTTTATGAAACAAATAATATGTTTATTATGCTAAAAGGTGAGAATTTATGGATGTCAACTTATTTATTTTGAGGAACATGATATTTCAGTATATTCAGACTTCGCAGTTTCAGAGTATATTCTTACTATTTCATCACCTAATTAAGAATATACGCCGAAACATTGAAATTCTCACCTTTTATGTACATAACCTCTTAGTGTCAATCAAACATCATGTTTACTTAGATAAAATATTGTAGAAATATAAGGACGACATCATCCTTTCATATGCTATGAATCCTGTTATCCAAACGCATCCGGACCATGTTGTAACTTTGATACATTTGACAGTTTAGGTGGCTAGGATGAACATACAGACAGATCAAGTAATAGCATTATAGATATGTAGAAGGCCCGAAAAGGGGTAACCTTGTGGTTTAAGCGTTCGCTCGTCACGCCGAAGACCCAGGTTTGATTCCCCACATGGGTACAATGCATGAAGCCCATTTCTGGTGTCCCCCGTCGTGATATTGATGGAATATTGCTAAAGCGACGTAAAACTAAACTCGCACACCAGATACATAGAAATGCATTTGCACACTCAAGAAATTGAGAACCCAAGTCTGCTATGACAACTGTAGAAAAGTTTCAAAAGGTATTCCGTGTTACAGTCAAGCCTGAGATGTATTTAGAAACCTTCAAGTAGAACCCATTCTTGGTCAGCCTGTAGACAATCACTTTGGATGGCATTGTCACATTGGTACCTATATCACTTTTTAGTATTGTTTTAAAGAACCGACCCTACATGTTTAACAAGAGAGGAAGGTTTAGGGTATGAAGTACAATTCATATTAACAAAATATGACCAGAGGTTCTCTTTGTTTAAGTAATATATTATCATTGATTACACATTTGTATGTCCTCATGACTTATTGAATGTTGATAAAGAAGGTGCCCTTAAATGACTGTGAGAAATGAGTAGAGTCATTGAAAAGAAGTTTCAGTTCTGTACAGCAGTACAATTTGTGAAGCCCTTTTTCATGGTTTTGGTTTAAACATATTTGCTTTTGTTTCAGCATCATCATATTATATACTAGTACTAAGTATAGGAGGGAAGTGTTTGTTTTCTCTTGCTTAACATGTTGCGTAACAAGGTTTCACCATAATTTTGGGTTGTTTCCATTGTTCTTTCTTTTTAATCCAGATTAGATATATGTGTATTTTCAGCTTTTGTAAATGCTGATGTTACTTTGTTTCTAAAGTATCTACATTTCTATCTAAATTTTGATGTTTTACTTATACATGTTGGTGCTTTTGCTGCAAAATTAAGTTTCATATGTCACTATCTCTTGACCTTATTGTTACAATTTTATGCCATTTGTATGTTGGTATTGCAGGAATATTGAGCGGAGTAAAACCCAAGCCCCCTCACTGTCTTTGTTTGGCCATGTTAATGAAAAGGTGGTTGCAACATGCCTCACATTGTCAGCATGTTCCCCTCTCACATTTGAATTTTACCCTCACCTTTGAATTGATCTTCCATAACCCATGCTTGTTGGTGACTAACAGGATCGGGTGGTCAGGCTCGCTGACTTGGTTGACACATGTCATCTTTTCCCAGTTGCATAGATCGATGCTCATGCTGTTGATCACTGGATTGTCTGGTCCAAACTTGATTTACAGACTGCCGCCATGTAGCTGGAATATTGATGAGTGCAGTGTTGAACTAAACTCACTCACCAGTTGTTGTTGACCCTTGCAGGTGAGAGCAAACACGACAAGGAGGGACGGGTCATCACAGCCGAGTTTGAAAAGTTCTACATGGTCACAGCATGTGAGTGTTGTGTGATGGTTTGGTTTAATGGGTGATTGTTTGATTGGGGTGACATAGAGCTAGGTGAGGCAGGGTTTTATGGGACGCAAGATTCCTGCGTATTGGATGTAGAATTTTGGTAAAGTACCCCCAAACTAAAAATCCCAATGCGTCCTTGTGGGACTTAATATAATTTGTTTCTGGAAAGAACTTTCTGAGTTTGTAATGATATGCCATATTAAAATATAAACATTCTATTTACAATCATTATTCTAATGGCGTTGAAAGTAACACACATCTTAACATAATCATTATCAAATGGGAAGCATTCATTATCATGGATTTAATGCAAATTGATCGACCCCCACTTTTAGAAATGGACTCTCAAACAAATATGCCCTGAGTCCCCAGGACTCCCAGTTTGAAGAGCTATGTAAAACCGTGGTGATGGAATGACAGTAGTGACTGTGTCATGTGAAAATATGAGAGAGGAGGGTGTCCTAGGTTAAGAGGGTACCTTGGTGGGTCTATCATTTTATGGGTGACATTGCTTTTGATAGAGGAGGGTGTGACACCTGTTATTGGAGCAGTGGCATGTGGACGAGAGGATGTGTATTGGTGATTGGTTGAGAGTGGGTTATCATGGTTATTAAAGAGTCTCGGTGGAGGGATGTGGATGTAGATGTTAGGGAGAGATGTGGATGTCAAGGGAGGGTGTGGTAGAGTGTATGTGGGTGTGGCACTGGATTTTGTAGCTGCATCTTCTGAATGTCAGGGTTGGGTAGCCATGTCATGTGGATGAGATGGGGTGGTCAGGTGTTGGTTTGAGGGAATTGTTGACCAAGTCTTTGTAGCAGTGTTATGTTGATAAGAAGGGGTGAAGGAAGGGTGCGTATAGGTATGTAGTGGTGACACTCTACCTAGGATAAACCTTTGAAACTATTTTCATTGTGCTTGTGATGCAAACATGATTCCATGCTGCAAACAGTAAAATAATATATGGGTCATTTTCAAAATTGGTAGGATTTTCTGTCCGTTCCAAATAAAAAAAAACCTCTGTTAACTTAAAAGTTTTCATTGTGCTAGAAAACATATTTAGATGTTTACTAGTCAGTAAATGTGATATATCATTAGTCTTGTCATTTTGAAATTTATATTTAGCCACATTTTAGGGTCAAAATTGGCAGGTTTGCTCTGTCCGAGGTGGCGGCCCTAATATCAATGTTCACAAATAATGTAAATATAAATGCAAATAAACAAAACTAATTCATATTATGCCAATTAGACTTGATCAAGCATACTCAAACTGCATTTAATTTTGTTTTAACTTAAAAAGTTTTTTCTACAAATTGTAACATGCTTGTCCGGTGTTTTTGTGTCCTGACCGTTACCAGTGTATGAAATTCCTGCAATAACTTCCCCTGGAGCTGAATTGTAATACTACTTCCTGTGTCTGTTTGAGCTAGCCCTGTGCATGTGACAGCAGATGAAATAATGAAATTCAACACATTTTGCTGAAAATTGACACCATCAAATAAGTATAAATGTTATGTGTCAACCTTAATTGTCCAGACCGTTACCAATGTATTTTGTGTTAAATATATCTCTTTGTTTTTAAATTTCAATGGATATGTTGCCCAGAAATGGAAAAGGTGGAAGGCATGTCCTTTGAAATCTTATAGGATCATTCATTTTTTATCCCCACAACGCGTTTTGCGGGGTATTAAAATGGACTCCGATCGATCCGTCCGATCGATCCGTCCGTCCGTCCGTCCGTGCACATTTGTCTTTTCCGGAGCAGAACTCTAAAACCGTTCAATATTTCTTCACCAAACTTGGCACATACATGGATCTGGTGGTGTTGTGGTGCCTTTGGTAGTTTTGGAATTCTGAATCAAATATTTTTGGCGTTTCCATGGCACAAGTTCGATTTAGACTGAAATTGGTGGTAGCTCTATTCGAGCAGAACTCTAAAACCGTTCAATATGTCTTCACCAAACTTGGCACATAGATAGATCTGGTGGTGTAGTGGTGCCTTTTGGTAGTTTTGGAATTCTGAATCAAATATTTTGGGCGTTTCCATGGCACAAGTTCGACTTAGCCTGAAATTGGTGGTAGTGCTCTTTTCCGGAGCAGAACTGTAAAACCGTTCAATATGTCGTCGCCAAACATGGCACATAGATTGATCTGGTGGTGTAGTGGTGCCTTTTGGTAGTTTTGGAATTCTGAATCAAATATTTTTGGCGTTTCCATGGCACAAGTTCGACTTAGACTGAAATTGGTGGTAGTGCTCTTTTCCGGAGCAGAACTCTAAAACCGTTCAATATGTCGTCACCAAACATGGCACATAGATTGATCTGGTGGTGTACTGGTGCCTTTGGTAGTTTTGGAATTCTGAATCAAATATTTTTGGCGTTTCCATGGCAACAAGTTTGACTTAGACTGAAATTGGTGGTTGTGCTCTTTTCCGAAGCAGAACTCTAACACCATTCAATATTTCTTCACCAAACTTGGCACATAGATAGATCTGGTGGTGTACTGGTGCCTTTTTGGTAGTTTTGGAATTCTGAATAAAATATTTTTGGCATTTCCATGGCAACAAGTTTGACTTACACTGAAATTGGTGATAGTGCTCCTTTCTGGAGCAGAACTTTTAAACCCTTTCAATACTCTCCTTCCACTTTTCTATGTACACACCTAAATATTTGACATAATCATAACTTCGTAGACATAATCATGAAGAGTATTTTGCCATTAAGTGGGGATATTGATGACTTTGTCTTCTTGTTTATTTTAGATTTACTTACAAATTGTCTTGACGTTACTGTCCAAACCGTTACCATTCCATAAAGTAACGGTTTAGACAGTCCTTGTAATGGTCTGGACAAAATGATTTGTATTTCAAAAAGTTGTTCATTAATATTTGAAATATAACAAATTAATAATTACTTTTAGGGTTAAGATAAATTTAAGCATGGAATTTTACTGTTCAAAAGAGTTTGATGTAGTAGCATTAAAAACACAGTCTCTAGTAGCGGTTTGGACAAATAATAGTAAGCGGTCTGGACATATCTTTAATAAATTTCTATTTTAAAGAATATGTTCCATGGTGTGATAATAATTTTCTGTTTACTTATATATCTGCTTTAAATAATAAAACCAAAACGAATTTATCACGTTAAGTTTCTATTTTCTATAAGATCTATAGTCTTTATAAATTAAAGGTAAAGGTTAGGACATCTATGGTAACAGTTTGGACAAAATGTAGTAACGGTAAACAACTTTCAGTATTCCAACCTTTAAAGATTTTTGGGTGTAAACTGTTTTAACTTTAACTGTGAGATATGTAAGGCTACCATTTACTTTGAATATTTGCTAGGTGCTAATATGTTGGCCAAACCTTTGTAGTTGATAAATATGTGTTACCATCTCACGATTAACAAAAACTAAAGGTATCCAGTGAATGAAAGAAGTATATTTCTTGGAGACTAATATTGCACCATAATATCAACAGCAAAATGATATCTATGCAGTGACCTGTATAGCATGACCATGTGTACAGTTTCATAGTTGTTGCAGTATCTTTCAGAATTTAATCTTTTGCAACTTTTTAGAGGGATAACATTTGTTTGTTACACTGATGTCCTGACTGTTACCAATAATGTCACAACCATTACTATTCATTCAATTTTCGTTCCCCAATTGCACTCTTCCTTAGATTGTAAGTGATTTTCAACCTAGACAGGTGTGTTTTTCTATTCTTTAGAAGCTACAGTTTGTTTTATTCAAAAGCCTAAATTCATTCACAAGTTTCATATTGATATAACAAATGTCCAAACCGTTACCACATCATGGAAGAAAACATGTCACATTTGTTACAAGTTACAATTTCTAATACACATTTCACTGTCTGTCCAAAATATGGTTAGCAATTAAAGTAAATGATATCATTTTTTCCTTTCATGTTACCTGTTTCTATGTTGAATTAAAATTTTTAAGGTTTATGTCCAGCCCGTTGCCATTTCCTGTCCAAACCGTTACCACTATTGTCCTAACCGTTACTGGTGTTAATTGACTGCTGTAATTAATTCATGATAATACATGAAACACTCCTCTTTATGCTGGTGTCATCAAAGATGTCCTGGGCTTAGTAGCTGATGTTTATTTTAGACAATTTTACCTGTTGAAAACTATATGCATAATAATAATGTTTTAGAAAAATGCAATTATTTTGTGGTAAATAAATGAAAGATACAAAATAACACTTTCAAGATTCATGATAATAGTTTTTACCTTCAAGTTTGATTAAGTTGATTTGTAAAAGCTGTGTATGCCATCTTTAAAAGATTTTAAGAATTATATTTCAAAATCCTTATTCTGATTAAGAAATGGTAACGGGTCAGGACTTTCCCTCACCCTATTAATTACTTATGTATCAATTAAAAGGTCAATTAGTAAAATTTGAGCCTGCATGTTTGTGTTATTGAATAATTAAGTATTTGAGATTTCATTTGAATTAAAACTAAATTAATTTTCAGGAGTTTGATTTTACTGTAATAAAGAATTTAAAATCCTACCAATTTTGAAAATGACCCATATATAAATTAAATTTTCTGTGTTAAACAGTCCCTATTATATGTATGATACCTAGAAGTGTACAGCCTTTTCAATTATATCTTACATTTATCTTCATGGTATATGTTTATTCAGACATTCCGAATTCTGGGCGTGGTTTGACACGACTTAACTACCGCACGAAGGAATGGGATGTGGCTTTCCAGGACTACATGAAGAAGCTGGATGACAAAAAGCCAGTCATCCTGTGTGGAGACCTCAATGTTGCACATCTTGACATAGGTAGGCCAGGCACACATGACATTATGATCAAAGTTTGACAGGTACTCCTATCTGATGGGCAAATATATTTTACAGGCAGACAAGGATAGGCCAAGCACATGTATTTCACAGGCAGACAGGAGTAGGCCATGCATATTTCAGACAGACAGGGGAAGGCCATGCATATTTCACAGACACACACGTAAAGGCCATGCATATTTCACAGGCAGACAGGTAAAGGCCATGCATATTTCTCAGGCAGACAGGTGAAGGCCATGCATATTTCTCAGGCAGACAGGTGAAGGCCTTGCATATTTCACAGGCAGAATGGGGAAGGCCATGCATATTTCACAGGCAGACAGGGGAAGGCCATGCATATTTCACAGGCAGACCAGTAAAGGCCATGCATATTTCACAGACACAGGGTAAAAGGCAATGCATATTTTACAGGCAGACAGGTAAAGGCCATGCATATTTCACAGGCAGACAGGTAAAGGCCATATTTCACAGGCAGAGGGGAAGGCCATGCATATTTCACAGGCAGACAGGGGAAGGCCATGCATATTTCACAGGCAGACCGGTAAAAGGCCATGCATATTTCACAGGCAGACAGGTAAAGACCATGCATATTTCTCAGGCAGACAGGTGAAGGCCATGCATATTTCACAGACACACAGGTAAAGGCCATGCATATTTCACAGGCAGACAGGTAAAGGCCATGCATATTTCACAGGCAGACAGGTAAATGCCATGCATATTTCACAGGCATACAGGTAAAGGCCATGCATATTTGACAGGCAGACAGGGGAAGGCCATGCATATTTCACAGGCAGACAGGTAAAGGCCATGCATATTTCACAGGTTGACAGGGGTAGACCTTGCTTATTTCACAGGCAGACAGGGGTAGACCTTGCTTATTTCACGGGCAGACAGGGGTAGGCCAGGTTTAGGCAGACATAGTGTCCATGACATGATTAGACTAGACAGACTGTTTGTGATAGAATGTAATTTTTCAGGAAATATGTTTATTACAACTTGGGCCCTTCACATAAACTTTTCATGATTGAACTAATACACAAGGTATTGAAACTGTCAACTCTCTTTACTTTCAGACTTAAAAAATCCAAAAACCAACAAGAAAACTGCAGGTTTTACACCCCAGGAGCGTGAGGGGTTCACCAACCTGCTGAACGAGGGCTTTGTGGACTCGTTCCGCCTCCTGTATCCTGAACAAGAAGGTGCCTACACGTTCTGGGCCTACTTCATGAACAACAGATCCAAGGATGTTGGCTGGTGAGCAGATTATATCCACTTTCTACAGAAACAAACCAAATCTAGTATATTGCTTGAAGAAGTAAACCATGATGCTCTTTATAATAAATGTGTAGTGAGGCTGATAAGCTGAAACCAGCTGACAGTGTCATTGCACATCTCAGCTGATGAGCTTGATTCCCCACCTGTGACATTGCTGGGATGCTGCTAAAAGTGATGTAATCACTCACTCACTCACTCACTCATGTGGTGACAAAGACACAACTCATATGAGATGTTATGTCACACATGGACGTTATATGATGAGAATAAAGACTGCAGATTTTAGATGGTTTACTAAAGGTAGCATATGTTTAGAAATGTCATGTATATTTGCAGGAGATTGGACTACTCCGTGATATCAGAGCGTCTGAAGGACAACCTTTGTGACAACATCATCAGGAAGTTTGTGCAGGGTAGTGACCATTGTCCGATCATTCTGCTCCTCAACCTTTAAATCTTCATCAGTCATTGTTTACAATGTGTGAATGTCTTCATCATGTCCATATACAGGTCATGAACATTGACCACCTTTGACCACAACAAGGTCACGTATGTTAATACAGTGATGCCAAGTTAGTCTGGACCCTTACCTTTCTGAAAACCTGTCTCTATATACTCAGTCCCTCATAGGAGCATTACTCTGTATCTCTGCACAAACCGAGGGCTTGAGGTTGAATGAAGTGTCAGGTAGCCAGAATATGGATGATGGTGGGGGCTGTTGCTCACCATAAAGACATCTATACTGGCCCAGGCTGGATTATGTACAGACCGCAGTCATTTAGATGGAATATTGCTGAGTATCTGAGTATGCAGATGGCCTTGTTGTCTAAGTCATAGGTGGAAGCAAAAAGGGTGGATGCAGGGGTGCCTCTCTGAACCCGAGTCTTCGGCGTGACGAGCAAATGCTTTTAACCACTAGGCTACCCCACGGCCCCTGAAACTCTCGTGAAAGCGTGTGAAAATGAAGTGTGCACACACACACCAAACCCCCAAAGTGTGCACCCCCTTTCTCCAAAAGCTGTATCCTCCCCTAGTCTAAGGCACTGACACTTTATTTCAGTTTTACTTAGTTGAGCAAGGATCCAATGTATTATGGCAGGTTTGAATCCCTGACTTGCCCTTTTCATGATCTTTGGTTTGTCAGGACATTACCTGTGGCTCATGCTTAAAACAGGCATCACTCTAGTTTGTTTTCATGTAACTGAAATACTGTACAAAGTGGAATAAAACCCATATCATTCACTCACTACTCCACCCATGATTTGTTATTCCATGCATCAGGGTATTTACTAGTAATGGTCTTGATTTACAAGGTGTCACTGTGTAAATGTCATTGCTCATTTAGTTCTAAATCATGGTTTTATTTCAATTTATGGAGATCATATGCATTATTTCCTTTTTCATCTGTTTTACTGTGATCAGATGTAGAAACTTTAATCACTTTTTCATGAAATATATATTGATACTCATCGACAATACTTCGCAGATTTATGCAACTGCTTTCCTTCATCAGTAGATACAGATAGCAACCTGGTTGCGTTCAGCACATGATTCAATTCTGCTTACAATGAATCCAGCATGTTCAGCAATATATCTTGTGTAACATGTGCCTAGCTTTCTTAACACGTCTTCTTCATGCATGTACTAGCATCATATGATTTCTCTAAGTTAAACACAGACTCAATCTATTTACCAAAGAAGAATGCACATTTCAGTGTATAGCTGTATGTATTCACTACGGTGGGTGAAGTTCATGTACAGAGACCTGTGAAGTACTGATGTTGAATAAATGAGATGATGAACTCTGGCTGTCAGTATTGTTTATACCTTTGTATCTACAGCTGGCATCAACCAACATCAAGATATGTTTGTGTTATATATATTCCACTGATATGTACCTTGATTTGTTTTGGATGGAATTCCTGAAGTATAATTGTCTGGTTTTATGAAAATATTATAGGGACTAGTGACCATGACCGAGATCAGGTGATCACATATAAACATGAACATTTTACTTGAATTTACTCAGGTGTTTGTAGCCTGAGGACATATGGAGGAAAGTGTGTTTGTCATGATTATAGCTATTCCTTCTGTAATCTTACAACATGGTCAGACTCTTGTTAATGCGATTCCTCACATGGGTATGTCGTGCCAAATTCCTGGAATTGCTCATTCCCTGGGTTTAGGCAACTGCTGTGCCCCCTTCCTGGAACGGGACAATTCATGATTCAAATTGCACAATCCCAAGGAATCGGCAGGGATTAGAAGATAACCCAAATAGGCGACATCATGATTAATGTTTATTCTGACAAAACAGTACCTTGATACATTGTGACATATCAAAACATTTACCGGTAGGTAATTAAAAGATCAAACATTAAATACTTATTTTGACACTTGATATTACGAGGATGGCAATGCCTAGAGCATTTATTTCCATCTTTGTAGCACATGCAACGTTTGCCATTGCTGTCCAATCTTGCAGCTGCTCTCACTGAAATGTCCTCACGTCTTTTCACATCCATATTCAGATTGTTTGTTCACACGGCTCAAATAGATTTGATGTCCCACTCAGTTGACCGTGTGTTGTTTGTCACTCTCCTCTGTTATGACGCCAAGAATATTTCTGTGATCAGACGTCAAACTGAGAAACAGGTACAAGTACAATGTTTGAAGCCCATTTCTAGTGAACCCTGCCGTGAAGTTGGTGGAATATTGCTAAAAGCGGTGGAAAACCAAACTCACTCACTCTTGTTAGTGCTTATAGTCTTTGTTGTTAAGAAGTGGTTTAATCTTTTTACCTGGTTGATTAGGTGTACAGTCAGTTTCACACGTGTGGGATTGAATCTTTATTCACATACCTTTTCAAACATGTTCAGGTAAAAAAAACTCCCTCGCACTGCATGGAGGATCTCGTGTGTCGTTCAAAACATATCCCAGTTTGTAAACTACTATTAGTATTACATGTGCTGCTGCTGCTACTACTACTACTACTACTACTACCACCTACACTACTACTACTGCTACTACTACAAGTTTTTATTTCCTGCCCACAAAGACCAACGTTAAATAGAGTACATTTCCTCAGTTGTAGTTCTACTGTTATTTCTACCACTGACTGTTTTGATTCACTATGTGAAAGGAAGTTGTAGATAGTAATTGCTCATTTTTGGAGAGAAACTGGGAAAGGAAGAAGTCAAAACTGAGGCTGGTTCTCATATTTCAGTTGTTAACTGGCGAGGAAAGCTTTCTATTGATAATAGCAATCCATCATTGTGCTTTTGTTTTGCTATTGTATATACATGTATGTATGTGAGGTGAAATTGGGTTTAACGTCGTGATTGAGAATATTTCGCTCATATGACGACGTTGTATGTATGTAGCTCTGTGGGCGAACTAGATAGTTTTTCACTATCCTCTCTCAGATTACTAACACAGATACAAGAAGAGATCTGAAAGGAAAGACAGCAAAATATTTTAAATTGAATTAAGCTGTAACATTTATTATCCATTAAGAAAAGAAGATAACAACAGGCTACCCAACAGGGGATTATTTCCCACATGCATACATGCGCCTTTGTTAACCATATACAGAATGTCGTCTGCCTAGTATTCGTTGAACAAGTTCTATTCCCGCACGTAATTAGGGAAAAGGACCTTGATGTTAAAACGACAAAAGTTCCAATATTAGGTCCCTTCAGCGTACATGTATTCCAGGGAGAACACATTGGAATTTCCCAGCGCCTATTTCAGACCCTGTACTTAGAGCTGATCAGAATGTACCAAAGCTCATGTCAGAATATTTGCTACAAAGGCAGAAGAATGTCAAACACAGACTTAAAGCCCCAGTCAGAGCTCTTCCTAGGTTTTGTATAAAACAATGCGGTTTGAAGCAACTGGGTCCTAAATCTCGCCTACCAAGAAATGTTGGCAGCCTTTTATCATGCAATGTCTTTGCGGACAAAACTGGGTTTTGGCTGAAGCTCGTTTGTTGTTTAATCTGTCGAACTCAGGTTTCATCTGATCCCTGTGTAAATAAAGGATAACCGACTCCATGGATGTTGTCGAAAGACGGAACAAATAGTCTGTTGACAACTATCTCACCCCAGAACCTTTAAAACAAGAACGCTTCAAAGCAGGCTGGGACACAAGATAAACACAGTAGAGGCACCACCAGCAATTGTCAGGGATCTCAACCTGGAAACATATGATGAGAAGTGTTGGACATCAATCGCTGGACATGTTCATGGTGTCCAGCTGCACATCGGTCTGAAGTCGGATAAACCTGCAACAGATCCTTTGTTGGTTTCAAACGCAGGATGTTCAGTACATCTGTTTCGAGTCATGAAAAGTTTTGGTATTTCTCCGACCTGTGAGTAATTGTTGAATCTAGAACTGTCAAATCAGTGCATGCATTCCTTAACAGCAACCTGCTTCACCACGGAGTAATGACAGCCACTTCCGATTATCCGATTTATTCGACAAGCGTTACTAGCAAGCTAAGGGCCCTACAACGGACCTTAGGACATTTTTCGCCCCGAGCTTCGAACAACAGGTAGTCACACATTTGGTGGGTGGTGGGGTAACCTGATGGTTAAGGCGTTGTCACCCGAAGACCCGGGTTCGAACATGGGTACAATGTGTGAAGCTCATTTCTGGTGTCCCCGCCGTGATATTGCTGGAATATTGCTAAAAGCGGCGTAAATCCAAACTCACTCACTCACACATTTGGTACTGACGATTGTCCTGCAGCTGAATCCAAAGTGGAGACAGATGTATACAGGCGCGTAGCAAAACGTGTAAGGCCGATAAGTTACAAAGCTTCATATTTAGATGGTATTGTGGGCTTGCCCGCTTTTTAGCAACAATCATGTATGGCCCGGGCTTTTTATTATGGTAGCTACGCCCTGGTATATGTACTTGTCGAAGACCGCCAGGGAGAGACGTGTGTCTCAGTCGCTCTGCTGTTAGGGTTTGTAATGGGTTCAGAATTCGATACGCATCAGTAATTTTGGCCGTATTATCAATAAGTACATGACTGCAGAATACTTACTGTCAATTGGCTTATTTTGCCTTATTTGTGAATTTCTTCCGCACCGACTTTCCGCCGAGCATGGAATCTATTTTCGCACATAAAATATATTTTTATCTTTAGCTGTTAATAGAGATATTTGGATATGGAAAGAGTCGTCGATGGGAACGGGAAAATTGTTATTCACACTGGAGGAAAGCTCAGCTGATGTTGAACTTGCTAACAGAATTGATTTAATGTTGGAAGTGGAAAAGGCGCATTTGTGAATGACATGCCTATCAATTCCATTCATATTTGCTTTCATATTTAATTCCACTGACCCGATGTTAACAAACAAGCTCCTCCACCCCAAACTATTAATTAAAAGCCCAAAGAAATGTGACACGGTCAATCAATTGTATTCTAAAATTTGTTGACCCGTGAAGATCCGGGTTAGAATTGGTCTTCAGTAACCCATGCTTGTCGTAAGAGGCGACTAACGGGATCGAGTGGTCAGGCTCGCTTACTTGGTGGACACATGTCATCCTATCCTAATTGCGTAGATCACTGGATTGTCTGGTCGGACTCAATTATTTACAGACCGCTGTCATATAGCTGGAATACCACTCCTGTAATCTTACAACATGGCCAGACTCTTATTAGTGCTTATAGGCTTTGGTAAGAAGTGGGTTTTTCCTTTTTTTACTTGAGTTGAGTAGGTGTACAGCCAATATCACAAGTGTTGGATTAAATCTGGTTCAGACTCGATTATTTACAGACCGCCACCATATAGCAGGAATATTGCTGAGTGCGAGTAAATGGAAACTCGCTCACTCTAAAAGTTACTAAGTTACAAATCACTAGAAAGGAATTGGGAAAATTATATCAAAGACAGTGATGGTAATATTCACCCCGCAACAGTCATCAAGCTTCCAGAATAGGCCTTGGTCGAGTATCCAGGATGAAGCTGATCTTCCCACAACTGGTGCTCTTCTTGTAATGATGGATAGATAGATATTCGTTATTTCCTCTAATTGAATGACGATTACAATATGCAGTGATAATATATTGTACGTCAAACGATGAAGATGCATTAGTGATATAGTCAAAAATGTTCATATACATACAAGTGTTTTAGCAAGTATCGCCATTTCCTTATAAAATATGTTACATTAATTATTACTTTGCCCACACATCTCTTTCTAGTTCCATGATACATTCTATTGGACATCCACCAAGTAAAATGCAAGAAAAATATCATCGTCTTGATCCCAGATCTTAACAAAAGTTTCACATATGGAGTTAAAGAGTTTATTTCGGTTATTCATATTATTCGTACATGGCATAAACACAGGGGCGTGTCACGCTTAGAAACAGCGTTAGAATTACATATAGGTACATAGACCCTACCCTAGTACTATATAAAAGGATCCTACTAGGGTAGGGTCTATATACCTATTTGTCTTTCTAATGCTGTTTCTAAGCGTGACACGCCCCTGTTGGCATCAACACGTGCTTTACAATATCATTGTCGACAGTTTTACAATAACATTCTCTTGAAACTCTTGAAACACCATGTAATGTGATGTGATTGAGGTAAAAGCCTGAACGTTCTCTAACTCTCTGGGGCAGTCAACACTGGAATAATCCGGAAGGCCGAACAATGTCCACACCAGCCTTGTCTCCCAGCTAAATGTATTTACCAGCACACCACTGCTCTCCGGTGAATCCTGACAGAACCAATGGAACAAATACAGTACTGTTCTTTAATGATATACAAACACTGCCACAAAACA